TCTTTTGTCCACTCCATCGTCCTGGACCAGTGGGTCTCTTGAAGATAGACAATCGATATGTCATCGTGTTTGCGCAACCAGCACATGATTTCTGCGTAAAGTGTTTCAGTAAGGCCATCACAATTCCATGAAAAGACTCGAATACGAGAACCCAAGCCCTCGGGAGAGTTCACCTTTGTGGGTGGAAGCCAAGATACGTTCGCATACAAAGCCTTACCCCTGTACAAAGCAGCGCCGTTGCGCTGCGCTCTCCGGATAGCTCGCCTGAACGCGCGCTTACGCACACGTCCGTGGTCTTGCGCGGGTATGAAAGACTCCCCGTCATTCACCACCTGAGAACAGGTAGCTTCAGGCGTGCCCGGGGCTGCAACGCCAACCCTCGTGCCCGCAGCATGATCAGAAGTGGATGTGGAAGTGCAACACTGCTGCGTCCGGACTTGGGACCGGAATGAGCGCTCGTCCCCTGTGGAATTGTTCGCGCCTGTCGTCGGAAGGGGAGCTTCATCTGGAATGGTGTCGGGGACTGGGTGATTGATGATGGCCGGAGAAGTGGAAAGTATCGGAAAGTAATGATAAAGGCTCTTGGGCTCCATCGTCCCTCACAGGAATAAGACCTGCTCAGAGAACAAACCCAACCCAGCTTTGGAAAGCGCGTGGTGCAGAAAGCCCAAAGGCACAGGAAATCTGGGCGATCCAGTATGAACTCTGCCTCCTCCACAATGAGTAGAAACTCAGGGGATGACGGATCTGCAGCAAGAGCGCGGAACCAGATCAGGCGAGAGCGAGCGCCGGCCATGGAAGAAGAAAACGAGATAAACCCCAGCCCCCCTGAGCCGCTCATGGCACTTTTCATCTGGCATGTGTAAATCTTCATCACCATCATTCATGGCGAGCAAAGCTATTCAGACCCTCGAAACCTTGATCCTTTCACTAAACCCTTGAGCCAAAATGGCTACGGTTTGCTTCTTCGTAGATTGATCTTGGTGTCCCGGTAATCCTAGATTGCACTGTTGAAGTTTTCATGGTAGCGGAGCTTCGGCTCTGGAACCAGGGACTGAGACAGAATGGAGTTTGGAACCAGAGGGATTGGCGGACAGATCAAACTGTTCTCGCCGATATGTAGGACTGTACAAACCATTGGCAAGACTGCTAATTGACGATGTGGACGGATCGAATGTTGCCATCACTGACGATGTGCGTGAGGCTTTCAATGTGCAACAGAATCGCACCCAGAATGATCGGCTTTCACTGTTCTCTCGACAATTGGCTTATATGTTGGCGCAAATCACTGATGGCGCAGCGCGAGCGATTGTGCGCAATGAAGACACAGAGAATGGGGTTGAAATCTGGAGGCGACTGCGTAGTCAGTTCTCACTGCCGGAATGAGCACGATCTACTGATCTCCTGAATGAGATCATTGGTTTCCGATTGCGAAATATTGAGAAGTGATCATCGTGAGCGTGATCTGAGTTCATTATGCTGAAGAACAGACATGAGAAGACGACTGGAAGACCGCTTGACAATGATCTGCTTGTCACGTTGCTAATGCAGAAGACTGTTGGTCCTTTGCAACAGCATCTGAGGTTGAATGTTCGGAATATCAACACGTTCAATGAAGCACTGAACAGTATCTACCGTTACATCAAGAGCAGACACATCAGACACCTGACTGTCCCGAGTGGTAGGAGTGATCATGGTGGTCAAGCCGACATGGATAGCATTGAAAGGAAAGAGAGGAATGAAAGGAAAATGCTACAAAGGTGGAAATGGAATGTATCACAGAAAAGGAAAAGGATACAAGGGCAAAGGAATGTACAAAGGATACAAGGGAAAAGGAAACAGCAAAGGAAAATGTAAAGGAAAAGGACAAGGATGTTTTCTGTGTGGTGACCCAAGCCACTGGAGCAAGGAATGCCCTAAAGGAAAAGGAAAAATGTCCGCTGTGACGGAAGATGAACAAGGAAATGGAACGGAATGGTGTGATGATTGGAATCAGTGGAGTCCGGATGACGGGTCAAACGATGATTGGTCCTGGGAAGAACAGGAATGGAATGATGAGTGGATTGGTTCTGTTGATGATTGGTCTGGTGACTGCTCTTGGTCCTGGAACACTCAGGAATGGTGGAGTCCTGCCGAGAATCAGACGCAGAGCCGAATGGTGCCGCGAGCTCAGGTTCGAATGTCCCTCAGGACGCCGCCAAGAATGAACCAACACAGAATGTGTCAGCTGTGACTGCTGATTCGTCGGATCAGAGTGCGTCCAGAGTTGCTAAGACTGTTCGGGGAACCAAGCCCGGACTGATGACGAATTTGTTCGTTGGAGCGTGCGTGTTGACTGGTGCACTGAGTGCAGGAGTGCCACCAATGCCGAACCCAAGTGTGCCAAACTTGAGGGAATTGCCTGAGAATGATCCGATTGGTTTCGACGACAGCTTGATTGAGCTTCACATGCAGGCTGGACTGGCTGACAATTTACAAAGCATGGATACTGTTCGACAGTGGAGCTTGCGCGAAGTGTTGTCCTGAATGGTTCGCGCCGGACTATCCGACGCTGCCCTTGAATGAAAGCGCACCCTCACTGCGGAGCTTGTCTGGAAAGACACTGGATGTGCAAGGCAGGAAGATTGTGCAGCTTGACTGCGGTAATGCCCACTCGTTGAGTGTCCAGTTCTATGTGTGCACTGGCACACCGTTTCCACTGGTCAATGTTGCACGACTGTTGTTGCAAGACTTCTAGGCTGAAATGGCGAAAGATTACATGGCGTTGATTGACCCGACTTGCAATCCTGTGCCGATTGTGCGACAAGGAACATTGGTGTATTTGACACCGACTGTGATCCCTTACAGTGTCGCAAATGCGGTCAGATTGGCAGCTTTCCAGAGGCAATGTCGGGAATTGAAGAAGAGCTTGGTGCCTTGGAATTGCGACAACGATATTATGCGAAAGTCACATCGATCATGCCGGCTACAACTTCAGCTTCAACCTGCTCAGTCGGCCACAAGCCTGCCTGCCCTACCTGCGCCCTACCTGTGTCCTGCCGACACCCCGCCTATGCCCTACACCCTGCCTACATCCTAGTCTCTTTGTCTTCCCCCGTGCCTCAATCCCATCCCTTGTTCCATTATTCCCTATTCCCTCCCATTACCCCATTTCTTATTCTCTTGTTCCCCCAATCCCTTATTCCCTCACTCCATATTCCCTTATAGCTTTACTCCTTTATTCCTTTCCGATTCTAGTCCCTACTTTTTTCGTTTTACCTATTCCCTTGCATTCCCCTGGATGCCCCTGTTCATCTATTTCCCTTGTGAATGTATTCTCATATACCAATTCCCTCAATTTCCTATTTCCATTGTTTCACCTATTTCTCCTAGTTCTCCTATTTCCCTTTTCCCTATTCCCGTATTTCCTTATTTCCCTTTTTCATTATTTCCTTGTTCCTCTATTTCCTTATTCCCCTATTTCCCGATTCCACGATTCCCCTATTTCCTTAGTCTCTTTTTACCTATTCCCTTATTTCCCTATTTCCCGACTCCCCTATTTCCCTATTCCCGTATTCTCTTATTCCTTCACTCCGTGTATACTACCCTATTCCCATTCCCCATTCCCCTAGCCCCTATTCCGCGATTCCTTCCTTTACCTGAACCTTCCCCCCTCCCCTGCCCCGTCCCCCCTCCCCCGCCCCCCCCCTCCCCCGCACCCCCTTCAGGCCCAAACTCGGGGCAGGGGGCAGGGGGAATTGAACCAGGGACCTTTTCGGCTGAGATTTGGGGAAGCCTCTCGCAAACATGCTTCGGGTGCGAAACCCCAAACCCCAAAAGGAGTGGGTGGGTGCGAAACCCCAAACCCCAAAAAGAGTGGGTGGGTGCGAAACCCCAAACCCCAAAAAGAGTGAGTGGGTGCGAAACCCTGAACCCGAAAAGCAGTGGCTGGGTTTGAAGCCAGGAACCCTAACAGGAGTGAGTCGCTACCAAACCCTCATATCCTAAAAGGAATGGGCGTGGCCACGGGCCACACGTAAATGATGCTATTATGCCTTCGGCAAGCACCGGCCCGACAGCGTGCAACGGCTAGCAAAGCACATGGGCGCACAACTACCGTTGTTCATGGCGAGTGACCCTCTGCACAGAGAACAATTGCTGTCGCAAAGCTGTCCGGCACACATCACCATACATGGTATCCAGGGTTTGCTGCACAGAGTAAGTCGGCTTGAAGCCTTCACATGGTTGAGGCTCACGTTGGGTCGCCGACCACCCCTGTCGCTGGCGGTTTGGAAGATGGTGCAACCTGAAACTACCGCGATGCTGCCAAGAGCGGATCAGAGCGCAGAGCGTGAGGTCCAAGCTTGAGACACCACCTGGGAACCAGGGAGACCCAAGCGAGGAACGGAGAAAAGTGAAAAGCACTCTGCTTCGCTGTGCTTCGGCGGCCGCCGTGCCTCGCCGCCCAGGACGCGGATGAAGCTTTCCAGCAGCTCGCGCCTCAGATCTGACTCCAGAGCAAGATAAGCGGGTGCTGCGAGGTGCTCAGCTCTTCGCGACATGTCGTCAGGCTGACCGGTCACAGCCTGCTCCAATCCGAGAACACAAACAACCAGACTCAGTCGAAAAGTGCTAGAGCCGCGAGTGGTTTTGGGCTTCAAGTTCCTGCGGGATCAGTTGTAACAGTACCTGCGACCTATTTCTAGGATGCTGACATTTTGTCCGCTTCGGCGGACAGCATATCGGGGTTCCGCGCTCGAAGAGTTCGATGCAGTGGCCCGCCCCGCAACAAAGGATTTGTTGCACGTACACACCACCCTGCCTACCTACGTACACTTACCTACCTGCCTGCCTGCCTGTGTACCTACCTACCTACCTACATACATACATGGGTATGTAAACATGTAGTTGGTTCATGGGAGAAGCAGCGAGGGAGAGCGAGTGAGCGAAAGAAAAAGAGACATGAGACGAGTCAATCAACAACATGTCCTCCAAGTCTCCAAGCATAGATATACTGCTCTTCAACATGCTGCGACTACGAAGACTGCCCAGATCATGATGCACACAGATATAACCAGATAGTCGCATGTAACGGATGCTGCGGATAAACTACAGGCCACACATATACTGAGACTCGAGAGGCTACGCGAATGCAGCAGATCATGCATGTCGCAGACTGAACATGCTGCGGATACTTTCATATAGGACCATACTGTGTGTATTCGCGAGAACTGCCCATTTGTGTTTGTAGGGCACGACAATATCTCCAGACCCACAGCCGAGCCAGGGACGAAGCGATGGCTTCTCAAGCTGTTTGGTCGCGATTCTCGAAACAGATCACGAATGGCTAAAAGCCACCTGGCCGTGTCGCTGCTCCATTCGAGCCTCTTGCCGGCAGCTTGGGCCTGTGCTGCACGAAAGCAGCAAAGATCTTGAGCGAGTCGGTTGTCTTCTCTCCCGTCCTGAGCCCAATTCTACGTGCATTCTGACAAGCGTCCAGTGAGGTCTCAGGCGCCCACAATGCAATTTCGCACGCCCATCTGCAATACTGCGGGTCCTGCAGGTCGGACAGTCTGGAATCCAGCGCCAGAGCTGCAAACGATCAGCCTGCGCGTAAATCTCCGTGAAAGTCTTGCCTTTGTACTTACCTGTGTGTGCGCGCACCGAGCTTAGAGCACATGCTCCCTGTCTGGCGAAAGCCGGAAAGGCACGAAGACGATCGAGGACCGTGCCAACTTTCATTGTCTGCTGACCACTCCTCGGTGAGCGGTTCGACTTGTCAGCAGCTCAGCGAAATAAAGTCTCAGCAACAGGCGCGAGGTTGAAAGCTGCCTCCGACCTTGTGGTCGGCTTATCGATCTTATCGTCTTTGGCATGCTTTTGGAAACCTCGCAGCCGAGAACGAGACGTCGCTGGCCCGGGGAACCCTTGTGAGCCTTGCACGTGAGAACGACAGGGTCGCTCAAGCGTCTGCCGCGCTGCGCTCACACTCAGCGCATAGCGGGCAGCTCCACCAGGCGACCTGAAGGTCACGACAGGCGTCCTCTGAGGACGTATCGGCCGTTTTCTCGGTCGTGAACCCAGCGTGACTTAGCCCGTGTTTCACTCGACCCCTCGATGTCAACGCTTGAACAGCCAGCTGATGCCATCGTCATCCGCCTTGTGAACGGTGCTGTTGGCGATCGCGTGCCCTCGCTTGTGGAGTCTGCGCCTCGGCTGCAAGCTGTGCCTATTTTCGGGCCCCGAGACTCGCTTTCGCGTAGGAGGAGGAGCGCACTCTTGACGGAGCTTCCGTCACTCAGAAATTTCTCGAGAGATGTTCTAAGCATGTTCGGGACTAGATGAATTGCAGACTCTGGGCTGCATGACAACATGCTGAGTCGTGGTCAGGCAACCAAGCGAGCAGACAAGAAGGCATTGGCACAGTCACGCAGACGGTGTTCTGCCGGCCTCGAATTCGAAAAAGCGATCCTGCAGCTGCAAACCTTGCAGAAAACTCATGAAAAGTATAGAAGACTCGGAGGCTCGGATCAAGGTGAGGCCTGGCAGGTAGGCGCCGCCTGCATGGCTGGACGGTCCTTGCGAACATCTCGCTGGCCCGGGGTCCGTGCCCCACCTTTGAGCCATGCTGGCAAGGGGAGGCTCAACACGGGCTCGCACAACCGCCCAGAATCAAGCATGACTTTCTCTTCACCGCGGTCTTTAATCCACAGTACGTTAGGCTACCGGCCGAATAGCATTTCTGCTATGCAGCCTCACCGAAGTGTTAGCAAAAACTAAGTGTGTAATTCGTGTGTAACAGTACACGGGGTGAGACCCTCGTTGGCACAACAAAATGTGAAGCCTTGCGGAAAGCCATCAACAAGTCAATAGGCTTAGCAAGGCTCTGCAAAGCATTGGCACACATGATTTAAACATTTTGCGGACTGAGTCTGACAGACACCAAGCTTGTCTGCGACAGTGTCGAATTATGTTTGTCTTTGGCTTCCCAGACAGGTTGCAGCATGGTCCCGCGGGTCCGGTACGCACAAGAGGAAGTTGCAGCTGCAGAGCTACCCAAGCCGCTCTGCGCATAGTTGCAATGAAAGCACGCCTCTAGACTTCTCTAGAGCGCGCTTACTCCCAGACGCCCAAGGCAATGCATGCAAGGCTCTTCCAGGTGCCTTTGTAGCTTCTTTCACTCAGTTCCGGGATGGGTGCCAGCTGCCGGGCTTCGCTTTCCCACTGTTCTTTCAAGAGACGGACGGTGTGGGCTCGAAGGCCGGGCTCAGGGAGATGGCTACATGCAACCACCTCCGGTGGAAGCAGGAAGCCAGCAGATGCAGCGGTGTGGTACATGAGAAGGCTGCGGCTCTCTCCACGCACGGCCCGAGCAAGGGCTTGTCGAGGTGAAAGTGGGAGCACGCATCGCCAAACACAGTGCAGATCCTGGTCCACACGATCAGCTGTCCATTTCACATAAAGCCGCCATCGTTGCAAGTGCCAGCGCAAGTTTCGAGCGAGATAACCACGGAACAGAAAAGGCTGAGCATCTGTCAGTCCCAATCTGCTACAGGAAAGACTTCGCTTTCCTGGCAAGGCAACCGCTACGAATACTGTGAAGAGCATAGGTGCTGGAGTGACCTTCGGTCCATAGATGCAGACTGCTAATGCAAGAGAACCTAGCAGCCACGCCGCTCGAAGCCTCCATGTCATGCGCGGCTTGCTCTGCAAGCACTCGAGCACGTTGGCACAACTCTCTTTGGAGACATCTTGATCTTCATTGCTGTTCCTGCTCCGTGCAGAGAGACCTTGGTCCTGTACCATCGCCCAGGACGGATCTCCATGCAAGGAAACCTACAGGTCTCCTGCCCTTGAGGAGAATGGCAAGTGGATGCATTTGACCTTCAAGAGACGGTCCAGACCCGCGAAACATGTTTCATATTCGGTGCAGCTTTTTGCGCCACCGTTCACCAAGTCCACAGGCCACCGAAGCTGCTCATGTTGAAAAGTACTATACCGTGTCCCCTTGAGGCTACCCTCGAGGCCACCACGTCCACGTGTGGATCCCTGAGCCACTCTTGGAGGGTCGACAGGGATCGGATGTGAATTAATCAGTTGCACTTCCAAGGTGATGCTGAAATCTCACCGCCGGCCTGCCAGCTATCAGCCGCACAACCCTTGCTGGCACAAGACTGTGTCGCAGGATTTCTGTGCTGAAGTTCGGGTGCTGATGCCGCAAATAAAAAGAAAAGACGGGTGCCGGGCCCTTCAAGTCTCGCCGGACGTGCGTCACTTACCCGTTCGTTCCGAATCGAATTACGGATAGCGCAATGAATAGGGAATGTCAGCCCATGCAGACCTGAATGAGATACAACAACAATTTCTGTAAGACTGTAAGGGTGTTGCCTGATTCTGAAAGACTCTTCAGAGAAGATATCTTTCTGTTCGGACCTCGGGAACCGATGCGATCAAAGCAGCTAAAATCCTGAAGTTTGCAGCCTTTCTCATGCAACAGGCATGTCACGAGTTGTCCACACTATTCCACACTTGTCCGAGACACTGCTGCCGTCTCCATGACCTGGGAGTTCAGGTTGTAGAATGGATGCTCTGTGCTGAACTTGCCCCAACCAGCTTGCCTTCCGGATGGGCGTTCTCTGCTTCAGCTGGCTGCACCTAGATAGATGGGTCTCCGCTGCGGTGTAACAATTTCGGACGTCAACTGAAAAGCGCAGAGCAATGAGAAACGAGGATGGCACAAACGCCGGACCAGGGGAATTTACCTCGACAAATCTGGTCAGTCATTCAGTATCTTCTCGCATGCTTCCAATGGCCAATAGCCAGACATCGATCCTGAGACAACCTTGCGAGGGGCCTACCGTAAAACAAGCCTAAGGAGAAGACACTTCTTAAGCAACCTGACATGCCGGGTTTGACGCTCGGCGTGCACCAGCCGCTCCAGCTGCCCTGAAATGAACGTGCAAGCCGAGCTCTTCTTCACTTCTCGGACGAGCGCTTCACAGTCTATTGTGCGAGGGTCCGTTGGGGCGTTAGAGGGCCCTCTACCTCGACATCCTGATAAATCTGTTGAGAAAGCTGTTGGTCAGCAGGTAAGTACACGTCTCGACAGCTGACAAACACGAGTGGCCCCGCACCTATGAGCTTCTGTTAGTGTTTTCTGTCGAGGACCTTGAGCGTGTTCTTACTTCTTTGTGCTGGTACTCGCTCTTTCTCTCTCACAGCCACACATGGTGTGCCTTTGACTTCTGGCCGTAAGAGCAATCAGAGCCAGCGACACCCTGCAACAGATGCAATTGTCGCTGCAGCGCTGCCTGGTTCAAAAGCCCAATGAAGAACAACGGCAAACGGCAGCCCAAAAGCCAATGTGCCTGTAGCTTGCAGGGTGAACGCAGAGTGGATCGATGCCTGAAGCCAGGAAAAGTTGGTCTGTGTCAGGCTGCAGCTTTCGCAGTTCCACAGATCTCCAACAGGCCAGAAATAGCATCATGGATTCAAGCATGCCGTCAGCAACATAAACACAGCCATACTTAGCTGCAAAGCTGCCACGGAACCTCGGCCACAGCTGATGCCACAATCGAAGATGGAGGTTGGCCATGTGCAAAAGATGGTGTCGGCCTCGAAGGTCAGGTCATTCTTAGCAGCTCGCAGCGTTTACTTTACATGACTCGCTGCTCTCGCATTCCATCTGAAGGTGGTGCACACCGAAGTTTCCTGTCCCCGTGCCGCAGGTCAGACTTCCTTCCAAACCTTCATGTTGTCTCATGGAGAGCGCAGAAAGGCTCTGCGACTCGGAGGGGGCGCCCGGCCCCCGGCCCCCTGCCTGGCACTGCTCGCGGAGGCCCCGCCGGGCCTGGGCCCGGCGGCGGAGGACACGGCCTCGGGGACCGAGAAGCCTTTTAAGCAAGCCTTTCTGGCGTCCCCTTTCTCCAAGCCAAGCGCGCTCCCTAGCTCCCTAGCTCAGCCTAGCTCCCCAGCTCAGCCGCAGAAGGTGACCGTCCAGCAACTCCCTGAAGCTGCAGAACAGCCGCCATTGTGCAGCTTGCTCAGTGCTCCCCAGCGCCATCGTGTAGATGCACGCGCTGCCAAGACCACGATCCATGGAAAGCTGAACAATGCGCAACACCCACTGCCAAGTCCTGGAGTGCAGGACGCAAGCACCACAAACTACATGTCACGGATTTGTCTGTGCGACTGCGGGCAGCCCTACCAAGAAGGAAGCCCAGCCACACTACAAACTCCCGTAGCAACCGCCGCGGAACCGAACACCCACAAGAAACCGAGACACAGAAGCACGTGCAGAAAGCGGTCCCTCGAAACGACATCAAGCCCAATGCCCTCATGCGCTCAGAATTCTGCGCGAACAGCTAGGGTGACCAGATACCCACACTACTGTAAGATGAGTCAGATTCACAGAATATCACATCTGGAGCAACTTCCTCGTCGCAGCAGCAGTAGGTAGAAGTCGTCGTCGCAGTGGTCTTTTGTCACCCACCTGGTACGCCTATCTGTCGTCGTAGTGGCAGTGGCAGTGGCACTGGCAGAGGCATTGGCAGTTGCAGTGTAAGTGGCGGTGGTAGCCGTAGCGTCCGTCCTATGGCTGAGACGATGGTATACTTGCTGCTCAAAACACCGCGCCTGGATGCCGCACATCCACTCATGGCAGAATTGAGCCCGACATCCTCCAATTCCAAACGTAAGAGCGGCACGGTGTGTGTAAGCTGCAATGCATGTTGCCAGCATGCACCTCTTTCGCATGCACACAGCACAGAGTTGCAGTGCACTTGACCAAATTCATTGGGATGGCAGGGCACCAGCATTCGAACTGCTTGCCTCCAGCGTCCTGAACTGGCAACCGAATGGAGCATTACTGCTGCAGTCCGCGAATCTGGTGCCAAGACTTTACCGGTTATGTCTTGATGCAGGAGATCGACAATCTCCCACTTGGAACAGGTTGCAGTTGCCCCCATGGCTGCGTTTGCGCAACCCACATCTGGCAGAACGCTTCCCTTGCGAATGCCTTGTAACAGACGCAGCGCGACCTTCCACTCATAAGCCGCTTCACAGGCACTCAAAGCGGTGGTGTAGCTTATGTGCCCGGGTTTCCAGATGCTTTCGAGCAAAATCAACGAAGCCTGCCAAAGACCACGCCGCTGACATGCACCCATGCATGCATTGGTAACACCACGGTCGCCGCCGAGGAACTTTCCGCCGACAGCGAGGGAAAGCAGCCACTGCCCAGAAGCTCGAAAAGCCTTAACGACAGCACTGCAAGCCACGGCGCTGCGTGTGCCATGTCGGTAGAACATGGATGCCGCAGATTGCCAGGATGCTGCATCACCACAGGCACTGATGGCTGTGCTGAATGTCACGATGTCCCCGGACATCTGCAGTCCCAAGCAGGAGCCGAGTGTGCAAAGCGTGCTGCACCAGTGGCGTGCAGATGCCATGAGGGTGTTGAGAGTAATCAGGTCCGGCCTTACCTGCTTATGCACCAGAGAAGAAAACGTTGTCTGCGCCTGCTGCCACACATCGCATCTCCCCTGGGCATGCATCAAGGCATTGAAGCTGTCGATGTCTCCGAAGGAACGGAGCAAGGCAGCAGACTTTGGCCACACCGAGTTCTTTGCGCAGACAGCGATGGCACTCCGAAAGCTCGTCAGGCTTGGAGTCACAAGCATATCGTTTGTCTGGAGCAGGATTTGCAAACAGATCGTCCAACGAAACCGTGCAGAGATGCGGTAGCTGCCCCGTGCAAGTGGCAGAAGTCTGCTCGCGCTCATGGGCGAGCAGCCAACATCTACATGTCCGAATTTGAGTTGTGCTGGCTGCAGCGCACACAGCCGACTTGACAACGACTTGGTCACGATACAAAGACTGAAAACCTTGGCATGCTTGCAAACCCTCCTATCCACTATCACTATCTGTTACTGTCCCAGGTCGGAACTTGGGAAGCTTTTTAGGCTGGAGAAGGAACTTCGTTTGTAGTTTGTAGGTGCGCTGGATTGGATTGCCTGAGTCACTTGACGGGGGACTTATACAGTCTCGAGTCCTCCAAGTTGTGGTGTCGGACAGCGACACTGGCGACACTCACACTATTTAGAGCACTTTCGGCCTGCCCTTTCTGCAAAGAACTCCCGGGCAACTTCTGCCAGCAACTCTGGCATCCTGTGGACCAGGTCCTGGCTCTCACAGATTCCAAGGACAAGGTTGCAGCTCGTTATGTCCAGCCTCCAGCTGCTTGCCATGACATCCATAATTTGCAGTGTGGTTGGCCAGCTGTCTGTCCTGTGCGCTCTGCAGGCTGCAGCTGCCGAGCTGTAAGAGATCTGGTTTGGCAGAATGCTCCACGTTGCCATCCGAAACAGCAAGAACAAAGGAGCTCGCCAAATGTCAATGTCAGCATCTTCACCGGTCTCGCAAGCACTAATCGCGGCGCTGATGCTGACAGCATCCAGCCTCAGCCGATGAGACCGGACACCATGGAGAAGCTGAAAAGCTGTTTTCCATCTCTGGGCCTTCTCACACACACTTATTGCAGCACCGTAGCACACTTCATCGAACACGGCCAGGCTCGAAAGCCAAACCGCAAGCTGCCAGAAACCACTTGGCTCGCAGGCATTGATCGCAGCACCGCAAGTCACCACACTCTGCTGCAAAGACTGCCGGGTCATTTGTGACATCAACCAAGGTATGGCTTCCGGGCTGGGACCACATGCCTCAAAAACGGCTCTGTAGCTCCCCTCATCTGGTGCTATGCGGCAATCCATCATCCTAAGCAAACATCCGACAGCACGTGGCCAGGTATGCTTCATTGTTTGAATCACACAGTTCGTTGCAATAATATCAGGCCGTAGCCTCGAAGCTTTCATGAGTGCGTAAACATCTACTGCAACTCGCCATTTGCGGGACTTGCTGCACGTGTCTAGTATGGAGTTAAACCTGAGAAGGTCGGGGCTAGTGTGTCTCTCAAGACCCCGGATTGCCCAACACCAGCGGCTGAGGCAAGTGAAGAGAGCATTGAATGCACGGCCATCTGTGCGCAGGCCCAAAGTCCACATCCGCGAGACGACCGCCAGTGACCGCTCCCAAGTCCCTCTGCCGATCGAAGCGCGGAAACATGCCAGGTCCACATCCACGTGGTCTAACAAGACCTGGGCGGCTGGCCAGCTACAGGAGAGCAGAGAGCTGCACGTGTACTGGTCCGGCTGCACGGCTCCTTGACGCATGGCCATAACAATTGCCTGAGCGGCTTCCCAGCGTTGCTTTTCGGCGCAGGTCTTGATCAAGACGTTGTGCGTGATGCGGTCAGGGGCAACAGTGCGCGGAAAGGCGAAAGTTGAGGCAGCCTGCCGCCAGGCAGAGAAACGATGCATAGAGCTGAGCAAGGAGTTGAGACTGACCACTGTCAGGCACAAAGAGCACGACCTCAGGTCCTGCAGCAGGGCTACGGCCAGTGACCATGAATAGCACCGCCCCGTTGCAGCAATAACGACATTGACGGCGACAGTAGACAACAGATGCTGAGCTCGCAAATTCGCCAAGAGGGTCAGGGCCGCATCTGTTTGCCCTTTCTTCACCAAGCCGTTGAGTACAGACGTTGGCCATTTCGGTAAAGGTTGCGATGCTTGCCGGCCCATTTTACAAGCAGCCAGTAAGTAGCTACAGCATGCTGCGGGAAAGAAGCTTGCTGCAAACGATGTACGAGCCTTTGATGCATCCGCAAAACCGCAGCAAGTTGACTGCCGAGGGCCAAGGCGTCGACCGAGCTGCGCCGGGAGATCTTGAGGATGTTCTGGAGCACCTGCAAGAAGGCCGGGCCGACCCCGTCAGTGACCTGACCTCTCAAGACTGGCGGAGAGCGCCCGGGAGATCTTCCCGAACCGCCCTGCGAAATGGCCGGCAAGGTGGCCTGACAAAAAAGGGTTCAATCCTCGATGGAAGACAGCTATGTCAGCAAGCAAGCCGGGATGGCGGACATGTGCCTAGACACGCCGACAAGCCATATTTTTGTAGCACATGCTAACTGATCTTCTCATTTCTCTTCCATGGAGACCCGAGACAGCGGCCCCCCTGGCGGCGGCCCTGGCGGCGGCGTGAAAGATCTTGGCGGCGTAGTTGAGCGCGACACGGGCGGCCTTAGCGTTACGTCGTTAGTCATCGCCGGCACAAAGCGACATGCAGCTGTTGCCGGTACTAGCATTATGGCAACTTGCATGTCAATTTGTGGACAAGCGCGGAACGTGTTGCCAGGTGTGCATGCTGGAGACCTCTGCGAGAATGCGGGTGAAGTTCAGTGGTCTACCAGAGAGCAATTCCCAGCGATCTGGAGGCCGAACACACTTCGCCCAGCCGCACGAGCTTGGTGGCCTTGGGCACGAGCACCGGCAAAAGAAGAGAGTAATTCAAATCCCGACGCTTCTCACCAAGGCGCCGGATGTGAGACCAGCCTGAGGAAGCGCAACATCTCCATGCAACATCTCATCCTTACAGCGCAAAGTCGACGGATGCAAAGCCTGCAGGTCCACCAATTCCCGCGAGCCAGGTATCGCCCGTAAACCTTACCGCAAAGTGCGGGAATGATTGCGAACGCACCTGCTTGAGCTTGTTGCAGCTTGAGGCTTTGAGGATGATGCCATTTTGCAGCTCCTGCATTGCCTCGTGGTGGTGCCCCAGCCTGGAAGCAGAAGCGCAAAGTTAGAAGCCCGTCGGCCCCTCCGAAATCGAAGGCTGAGGAGCTCCCAGGTGGCTTTGACCTTGACGGCGAGAAGATGTGGCTCCAACAACGGGAATTGCAATGCAGGCAATGCAGGCTCGCGGCAAGCAGCAGCCATCCCTTCGTGTAGTCGCTTTTCAGCTTGACGCAGCGCTGTGCATCCTCAGGCACACGTTGGACGGAAAGGAGCAGTCGTCGGCAATAGTTCGCAAGTGGGTCCTCGCGACACTTCACCCAGTCTTCCACAGCCTCTGCACCCGTCTCTGCGCATCAGTCGTCACCATATTAGAGGCGACAGTTTGCCACCCGAGCCTGGTAGCACAAGGCTCGATTGCCAAACCTCTGCAGCACGGCCAGCTGCGCAGCTATGCTTTTATATCGTTGGAGTGTTGGTCCGTGAGCTATAAAGTTGCACTATCTTACAAGACGAAAGCGGCGCCACATCAAGGCGGTCTTTTTAATTACCCGGGCCAACCGAAAAAAAAAGTGCACCCTGAGCAGCTGCATGCGAGACCTTTCTGAGCAAGATTGCTGGCCAACTCGTGCCTATGATGTGAGGGCATGCCCCATGCACACAATGATGTCAGACGACTGGGTCTCTGGCAGCCGGTGGTCGTTCGGAAGGAAATGCAAAGCCTGCATCCGCGAGTAAGCCAAGGGCAGCCGACAAATATCAGCCGACAAATATGGTTTATGTCGTTAAGACAACCACAGTTTTCGAAGACGGGGGCTCTGCGCCTTCCCATACTCGGCCATGGCAGCCTGAAAGAGCTTCACCGACTCCTGCCTGGGCCGAGGCCATCTCGGACTTTTTCTCAGGCCGTGAAACTTTGGTTTCATACATGCAGCCGCTGCATAAGACGAAAGATTCTCATGTGGGATCTCTTCATGCGCACACACGCACGAATGCACCATGTCACACATTCACACAAGCACGCCAACAAGCGCAAATAAGCCAGGACAATCCGAGAAAACATAAAGTGAACGAGCGAAGCAAACCAACAGGTTATGACGACGACAACAACAAGCAAGCCTTGCAGGCAGATCTTGAAGTTGAAGACTTCAGGAATTTGCTCAGTCTTCGAACAATCGTAATCCCAAGGGTCCAAGCATGATAAACCACTCGCTAGGAACGCCTGTGGTCTACAGGAGCGCCCGGAAACCTGCGGTTCCGGCTCCGTGTGCTCTCTGTGCCACCAAGGCATGAAAGTGTGGGCGACTGACGTCGCCATGTTCCGGCTACCAGGCGCTTTGCACTGCGAAAGCACACGCGACTTCCTTGCAGTTGCAAATCGTGTCTAAGGCCTTGGGGGTTTGCGCTAGCTTTCCTCCGTCTAGCAGTTCGGCGTCATGCCTCTGCAATGCCTATCGGTTCTTCTGTGGCTTCCATGGTCTACACTTCACATCCCACATGCATGTGTGCACGTGCATATACACAAAAGCCTAGGTGAGTCGGTCGCAAACTTGTCCCAAACAGCTTAGGCAGCAGCACTCCACGCAAGTTTGTGTAAGGATCTGCATTTCGAGCCACTTCTCGAGCCTGTTGCGATGTGAACATCAATGTGCAAATCGGGCCACCAAACTACCTGCTTGGCTTCCATTGCTGGCAGTGCAGTCCTTGCAGTACAAGTCGTTCCCCTGCCGTCGAAACACGTTGGACCTCCAAGGACAATGCGGGCTTCTGCTTCGTGAGGCTTGCTGAAACCACAATCCACCTCTCCAGTGGTGTTCCGACGACCTCCGCCAGAGCAGGTCCGCTGCTGCTGGATCCCTCTGACACAGAAGCCGTCCTGGGAGCCCTCAGGCAAGTAGCTACTCGCCATTGCAGCTCAGCATGCGACCTGTGTGCTGCGACAAGGCCACCGAAGACCACATTTGCAAAGAACAGCACCATTGACACAGCAAGAAATGGTGACAACAAGGCACTTGGCTGCGCACCGTCATGAGATTGGAGCATCGGTAATTCCGCTAGAGCGCTTAAGCTTGCACCAGTCTGCACTTTCACCATGCTTCACCCATGCACCGAGATCCGTTTGCCGATTGACCGTATACTTCCACGTACCTGCACATTGCACTTCAACTGCTTCCGGTGGACCTTACCATCTGTCATAGGCCGTATGTCATACGCTGGCTGTGAAGCACGCATGTCGTGAAGACAGCAGCAGCTAGCGGCGAGGCCACTGTCAGCTTCCTCTGAAACATGTGGCATGGGTCTTCCTCGCATCTATTCACCGAAAACAGCGTCTTTGCAGACGATCGGTGAAAGCCAGCGGGAACTGTGAAACAATGATGCCAGCCAGCGCGTCACTTGTCAGTCTCGCTTCTTGGCAATGACCTCGCAATCGGAACAGCTCCGACTGTGGCTGCGAGGGCGACGGCGCCTTTTTCTTGGCATCTGCTGCACTGACGAGGGAGAGGGTCTCTTCCTCTGCATAACCGAAGCGCGCCTCACAATCGAACATAAGGCTCATGGGGTGATCATATACATGGTCATGTGCACTTCCAAACGGCCTTGTGTCTCTCGAAGATGCCGACGACAGCATCAGCTACCTTCTGGTGCACCTAAAATGTCTCCGACCATCAAATATCCACATCCTGCACCCTCCCCGTTTGTGCGTCTCTGCCAATGCACCTCGTTCAAGTACGTCTCGTCAACTGGCTTCTGCTGCGTCACCTTCTCTGTAGCGCTGCTGAACAGGGGCCTGGAATTCTCGGGCTTCGACACCTTAATGGGCTCCCCCCAGACGTAGCCAAGTGGAGGATCCAGAAATCCCATGAGAGTCATCCCTCGTCCACGCAGCCTCGAAAAGCTCAAAATCAACGGACACCCAGATGAAGATCCGCGTGACCGGCAACGAGGTCGGCACAACGTTCCACTCATCCTCAGCCGCACTAGACTGCATGTTTCCATCTCAGGAATCTGTGCCCCCGCAGCGACACGGCTGTGGCGCAGACCTTAGCGGCCGAAGGAGCCTCTGAATGAAGTGCGGGAGCCTGATGGTGTGGTGAATCCACCTCGCGTCTTGATGGTTCATGCTGTCGGTGAACCTCTTAGCCTCTTTCATGCTGCGGGCACTTTTCCCCGAAGCAAAAGCCGGGGATGATGTCCATGCCACTTTCAATGGCAAGCCTTTGCTGGTGCCACACTGTCAGGCCTAACTGCTGGACGACGGTGCAAGTCAATCAGGGCTTTCTCTCTTCCTCGCCACAAAGCTTCACGAAGCCTTTTCGGTCAGTCATCACAAGCTGTGTGTCCTGGCACGTGGGTCCAGATCTGCCTGGCAAATTCTTCTGCCCCCCCCCTCCTTGGACTCGCCATCCGTAAGGTTCATTTCGTCAATGCCGCCAGGGAGCAGGATGATGTTCTCGCCTGCAGTTTCTCAGGCTTGCCAGTCGTTGGAGTTGTGCTATCGCGTGGCTGTGTCTCAAAGATGCCTCGTCGAACGGCCCGCTCGAGCACCGGCCTTGTGCAGTCTTATCGCATCTTCTCGAAATGCAACCCAATGCTGAGTCCCGCGCTTTGATGCGTCGATGCAACCGCAGAAAAGGGACATTTCCCGGATGCCTCATCGTTCTCACGAGGGCACGAGAATGCACGTAAGTTCGTCGTCAGTCGGAAACTCTTTCCACACCTGGGAGGAAGAATGCTGCACCGAAGCTTCCCCAACCTGAAGCACAACAGGTGCTGTCGTCGCGACATTAACAGCTTCGGCAAAGGAGGCAGGCGATAGAATGACTTCGCCCGAGGCTGTGGCGGGCGGCTATGCCTGTGACAGCGAACCCATGGCAATTGGTTTGACATTGTTGCCAAGACCTTTGACAAAGCATTAGCATGTACTAATGCAAGCTATCACGGCGACTAGCACGAGAGAACCATACTTGAAGGACTGTAAGTTCGAACCCGACTCAAGCATGTCTTGCCTGGGAAAAGTGTCCGCCAACAACCAACTCCCCCGGAGAAGGCGCGGCAGACACCATAGACACCTTCGCAATACTCAGAAAAACAACAATGATCACAAAGAGACAACAACTCAGGCTTCCACCGTGTGGATACATGGCGAAGAGGTACTTCCCCTGAGCTTTACTACTAGACTCAAGTGTTTCGTATGCTTCGCACTCGCAGTCAGCGGCCTTGGGATCTGGAGCTGGACCTTCTCGGATGACAGTGGCATCGTGATAACCGAGGACATAATCCACCAGAGGACCGTAGAGCAGCCTGGCACGGTGTCTCGGCCCCGGTCTCAAGGCTGAAGCTCTCTGCAACCAAGGTTCCAATGGAAGGGCCAGCCCTTGCTCAAATGCGGCCTATGTGCCTCGCAGCGTGTGCATCAGAAGCAAGCGTTAGCAAGCATCCAAGGCCGGAAACTCAGAGGCGAGCGACAAGCTGCACAGTGTACAGCACGGAAAAGCTCCAGAGCTTCGCCCACGAGCACCAACCGAGAGCCCATGGAGACCTTAGTCCGACATCAGACAGAAGACGGAAGGACCAGTACTGCCAAAGCTTCCAACAGAGCCAACCACACCAAAGTGCCGACCTTGCTTGCCGAAAGCACATCGGTTCAAATCATGAATTCAGAGAAGCGAGCATGGGCTGCAAGATGCTAACCGGAGAAGTTGCTGTGGGAAGAGCTGAGCACATGAGGAAAAAATACAGTCCAGTATGGTTCTTCGCTTTGCCTGTTTGACGCTATGTGGTTCACGGCTCTGTCTTGTCGCTACAGGATAAAGAGCGGCGGGATTCCGACCTGTGGCTTTTGCCTTAGTTGGCGCCCTGTTTCTCGGCCCCAAATCTTCACCAGGAAACGTGCGTCGCAACGTCACTGCCAACCCGCCTTGCACCTGCGCCGCGAGTTACCCCACGTGTCCTGTTCTGGCTCCAAATAGAAACGCAGGCTCAATTCCGGGGTATCATGTGTTGGGATTCGAGTGCTTTCCCTTTCGCGGCAAGCTAAGGTACCAGCAAAAGACTCACGGACGCCGATTTGTCGCAATGGCCCGGATACACATCATATGCCGATTAACATGTTGCGATTCAGGAAGGTAACGGTCGCACGACTTCCTTGTGCCAAAGGGTTCCGCATGAGCATGCTTTGGGGATGTACACCCTTCACTCTAGCTCGCACCCAAAGTCCTCACCTCTGCACCATTCAAGCAAAACATGCACGGCTCGAAAGAAAAGGCCGCTTTTGTGGCACTCTCCCCCTCGCTGTGCTTTGGAAGACTAAGAACGATTGCTTATAACTTGTTGCGTTTACTTAAAATCTCCCGTTTTTTCACAAAATACATGAAGCCAGCCGTAAACCTCGAATGGGTCACCACACACCTTGCTTGCTGGTAACCTTTTGGGGGGCCGTTAAGCCTGCCACCCAATAATCTCGTTGTGGTCTTGCAGGCCTGAAGCTTCTTTGGCCCAGGGTTTGGTTTACCACATCTCAGGGTTTATTCAACCCAGCATCTTCTTTTGTGCTTTCGGATTTGGCTTGTGGGTCTGCCTCCCGACCTTTGCTTTCAAGGTTGTGGGTGGGCTTTACAACCGTTCAGGCTTTTTTCGACACTCACACTCGGGCAAGCCTGGCAAGGTCTGCAGTTGTAGGTTCGACGACTTCGCCAACAACTCACCAAGTTGATTCTCTCAGTGAGCACGCTGTGAGATGGAACTCCGACACGACAACCACAGGTGCACAAGCATACTCACAAGTCCCACTGACAGCAGTTTCTCCTCAGGAGCAACCGCCTATACCCACGAAACCCACCCCTGGTTTCGCCCTGGGAAAAAGCAGCCGGTGAAACCCTTACTACCACGCTCTACCTCCCAGACTATAGTTTCAGGCTTCAGAAGTTGTTCTTGCACATCATTCATGCAGTTGGGACTCGCAGTGGACCAAGGATTGTGGAGGGCTGTTTGCAAAACGAATTTGCTGATCTCACATCGCAGGTAGGGGGGGTTCAGGCTTTAGGGTTTGCCGCCCTCTTCTAGGGCTTGAGGTTTGCCACCCAACATCTTCTTTCAGGTTAAGGGCCCGATTTGTGTTGACACGACCGTGACCCCTTGCCACCTACCCCAAAAAACGCACAGCCAGCTATAAAGAGAGTTACCTAGTTCGAGCACACAGGGCCAGTGAGGGTTTAGGGTTGGGTTTGCCACCCAGTTATCTCCTTCCAAATTTCCGGGGTACGGCTGGCCTCATACTGTTGGGATCCTGCTGGCAACGGGGCGGGCATCCCAATCGCCAGGTGTGGAGCCTTCAGACCTCCAAATTATTTACAAAATATACAAAGCCAAAAAAGCTTACAACAAATCAAAAACAAGTTAGCCTTTCGCCGAAGTTGGATGCCCGCCATTCCCCGTTTTGTCTCTGGGCTTTGGAGGCATGGCGGGCCTGCTGCAGTCCATAGCGCAGGCAGGCCAAGCGCGCTTTAGTACAAACACAACCTCAAGGCCCGATTTTTTCTTTCCCATCGTTCGGGAATCACCTCGAGGAAAATGAAAGGCATATCCCACTGAGATCGACGGACATCCAAAGCATCAACAGCCCCTCGGAGTTGCACCTTTGCTCACAATATCGTACATCCTCATTGTTGAGAGCACCAACAAACCGATATGTCGCAACCCTCCTTCCAGCCAAGCTCGACTCTATTGCATTGAACCACATCTTGTCTATCTTCTTCAAAAAATCGCATGTTGTGTTGTTGTCGTGTCCAAATCATCTGTTGCTCGACGACTTTTTTGCGGCCTGTTGCGACTGTTCTACAGGCACGAGACTCGCACGGTCCGGCGGGCTCCAGTTGTATGATGCTGCATTGGTCGGCTTGTTCCAAGTCAGCATTGTTCAATCAAATGGGCATGTATGCTTGGGCACCTGCATCAATTTGGGTGTACTCTGGTGTACCGGCAGACACAGTACGCAGGGACACCATCTACACATTGTGTTGGCCCACGCAACAATGCGACCTGCCCGGCTTGCCACTGGGATAGGCTGGAGCCCCGGCTGGCCAGAAGAAAAAATAGCCTCGAAGCACTGTCGACAATGCACGCTGGCATACATCAGCTGCTCGCTCACCAGCTCTCCTCTTCGGTACTAACCCATGATAACGATCAAGAAGCTCGTGAAGAGGAGCTCGCACGCCACCTGCCCGCAGCCGCATGCAAACAACGCGGCGTGTTAGGGCGTCGGGGCAGCGCCTGCAGCACGTTGCCAGGAAAAGATCTTTGTCGCTCAAAGCGCACCTGCATCAGGACGAATCTCATAGCTCGTCGCGTCTCAGTGTCACCACCCGCGCTCTCTTTCGGCTAATATATGCCGTATGCCCTCTGGGGTTCTTGGTCGCCTCCACGCTGCCTGCTGCGGCCGGTGGGGGCAAAGCCCTGACAGCTGGCCGAAATATGACTCCAGCAGTCTAGCACTGATTCTGCGTTTGGCCAAGCGGCTTTGGCGCTGAGGCAACTGGCCACATGGAGCATATCGGCCATCTGAAGCTACAAGAATGGCAGCGGGTGGTCACCATCAGTAAGCTGGCCTGGCTCATGCTGGTCTCACAAACGAGGGCTCGCGTGCCGCCTTTGCAAATCATGTCAAGTCTGCCAAGTCTCTCGGGCGATCTGGCTCCAGTCTTGGACGGAACCGGGCATAGCCCCCAGTGCTGCAGCTAAACATATCGCACTATCAGGGCAGGGTCAGAATACATCACACATTCAAGGTAAGTGCCAAACAGCTCCGAGCTGTTCAACCGAAAATCAGAACCACTGCGAAGCTTCAAGCCTGCGATCCCCGAGCGAGGCAGCATCTGTACACGTTTATGCGGGCTTCTCCTCAAATTCATAGCTGCAGGAAATGACACCGTACGGCCACATCTTCGACCAGTCTTCCGCTCGAGGTTTGGCTTTCAAGTGATCCATCACAGCATCAATTTCAGCTGGGACCAACATGTTTTCATTCAGTTGATCAAGCTTGAGCGGCTTCCCACGGAAGGGTCCACCCTCAAACATCTTCGCGCCAGTTCTTGCGCAATCTGTCAGCGGGTCACCGGCACGGAGGTCTCTGAACTTTCCGAGCTCGTGGGCTGTTGCGACTCTCTTGGATTGCGAGGCTGTAACCTTGGGGTCCGAAATGTCAGAGGCCTTCAGCAGATCCTTCGAAGAAGCACGGCTGTGTCTATGGTCTTGCTGTGAGTTCTCATGTAGCTCCACTGGGCCTACAGTTGGCCCGAAGACTTCTCTTAAATCCTGGAGATCTTGCACAGTGAGGCTGGCGGATCGAAACTCGAGGAAAGACAGCATGCCGGTCGCTTCGTGTCCCAGTCGATGAACTCCTGCAGTCGCATCACAGGGAATCCAGCCGATTCCTTCAGCAAAAAATTCGCACTGAACATGTGGAGCAACCACTGACCCACATGCATCGAACACAGCCTGCCCATACTTGAAGCCAAGTGATATGCGTGCTGGGATCTGGTGTGCTCGCAACGCAAAAACGAATCCCACATTGAAGGCGGAACAATCGCCTCGCTTGGCCTTCCAAATGGAGGTTGGCAGGCTTGTGAGGTCCGTCTCTGCCAATGCCACATCATACTTGTAGCCGTGACGGAGGTGTCGTCCAAGTCGCACGGCATACGCTATGTCACGTTCCCCACTCAAACGCCCCAATCCCTGACTTGAGAGCAGTGAGCGAAGCTCCCTCCCTTCACAGGCCAGGCTGGATGCTCTTTCCTCGGGTGTAAGGACCGGTACAGGGATTACAGCATCGAGCCCATCCCGGGCCCCCGCCGCCGCGTCTTTCTGCTGGACCCGGACTTGCTGGTTCACGATGTCATGTTCCACCACAAGATGGGAAAGCTGGTCTCCCGGCAAGTTAAGCAGCACAAAACTCTGAAAGTCAGTCGTCGCATTATCGGTCAGACCTTGTACAGACACGCGATGTGAGGCATATCTGGCATGACCCTCCTCCACGGTCCGGAGTTTCGGTATCAAAACTATGTATCGACTACTAAGCTCATTGCCAATCAAGCTAAAACGAACACGCAAGACATGACGCGAAGCCGACATGACCTTGAGCATGAGTGGTGCGTTCTGGCAGTCGACGTCGCCTTCAGATAACTTTCGAAGGAGTTCCGGCCGAGAGTCGTTTTCAAAGGCCGATGCAGACCTACACAACCAATCGGATTGGCACATCTCTGCCCAGAGCTCTTTGGGAATGGTTGCTGGCTCTATGGGACCGACATCAAAACCACCGATCCCTTCAAGCATAGGGTCTGGTCCAGAGCTCAGCTGAAGGTTTTGCAGGCAGACCCGAAAAACCTCCCCTGCCGAAGACTTCATGAGATACAGATCCACAGATTTCCCATCGGCAGATGAGAGGGCGCGAGCGCCGGCTATCTCGCCAGCCCTGTCCAGAAGTTTCTTAAACGTTTGCCGGTGACTCCCAACTCGGCAAATCAATCCTCCATCCATACATGTGGCATCTTCAGTGCGCATGGCCATATACTGCATAACTTTGAAGGCTATGCGGGCGATCAGCGGACCGCTGGCCACCCCAGGAGGAAGTGCGAAGGCGCCTCTGCCCGTAGCAGTCCTCCAAAGAGGCTTTGGTGGAGACTCTGGCAAACCAGACACATTGCGCACAAAGACATGCCTCGGCTTCGCATCTGGATCAGTCCGCTTGAAGCCCAGATCTCCCTTTATCCCGTGCTGCCCCTGCTGGCATGTCATCATGCACTCAGTGCAGCATAAACGCAGGGAACTAAACGCTTGCGTTTCTAACTTCTCAGTTGCCGGAGATCGCTCACGGACCTCTCGAGAGCCAGGGCATCCTTGATATCGTCTGCAGGCGAAGCACTGCGGTGCCCAATTGCCGGCTCTTGCTGAGCCAAACTCAGTATGCCGGCTTGGCCAGTGATGCGTCTGGATCCGGCAGACTTGCTCGCCGACGTCGCCGAAGCAGAGGCGACGGTCTGAGTTGCAAGATCCCGCTCCTTCTCTGTATCTCTCGGCGCACTTGATCGTCCTCCAGACTTGAACGGTGAGACTGAGAACGACAAAATCTTACAAAACACACGCTGGGCAAAATAGACCGGCCCTGCAGCTCCTGTCAGTCCGAGAATGCTTTTGCCGGTAGAAGATAAGGGACGCCTGTCACCTCGCAATGAACGCAGGGCTTGCGAGCTGGCATAAACCCATTCCACTGAGTCAAGCTCTGCAAACCGCAGCCCTTGGCTCACGCTGGCACGACTGAGCCGCTGCACCACAAACTAGTGCGGTTCCAAATTGCTAGCATCTACCAGCTACCAGGGTTTGGTCGACCATCCGACTATCGAATGCTTGCTTGATAACCCAACAGCCCCCGCAGCTGCTTCCGGCCTCGGCTCGCAGCTACGGACATCCTGAGCTAAGACTGGTCGTGCTGAACGGCCGCTGCAAGCAGGAACGAATTTGGAAGTCAGACTTCGCTGTGCCCAATCTGCCAGCTGAGGAGAACCTATTCGTTGCAACATCGCGACACAATCAGCACAAACAATAATTGAGCAAAAGTGTTTATCATATTAGATGCGGAACGGGTTCGAATGTCGCGGAGAGTCCAGGGTCAAGTCTTCACAAAAGGCTCTACTCTACACAGCCACGCACACGGTGAGAAGTACCGACATATGGCATCTTCGCAGGCTTTCATGAACCGTCCCAAATAACAGAAATACAGAGTGATGGACAATTGGGGGAGCACATGAATTACCTTCCGAGGTCTGGTGATCTGCTTCAGCTGTAGTCGGGGCAGCCGGTAAGAGGGTCTCTCCAGGTCCAGAGTCTCCACAACGTCTCCGGCAGAATACACGTGGGATTTAGTCGTCGCTGCTCGGCGAAGGGCTTTGTCCCTGAAATCAAAAATCAAGCAAGTTCTTGCATCCTCCAATGCCAAAATCAAGCGTGAAATCAAGCAAAAATCATGCAAAATCAGTTAAAATCAAGCAAAAAACCAACAAAAGTATGCGGAAACTTCGAGAAAACACTTCACTGAACTGCTTCGAGCCTCCCATACTACCCAGCGCTGCTACGCGACGTCTTCTACACAGGCCTTCCACATCCGAAGGATGTCCAATCAGCAAATCACTGGGCTCCCTGCAAAGCCAACACCAAAGTGTCACATGGTGGCCCTGTGGTGGCCGGGGCTCGGTCTAGAGAGGTTCCCTGCGAGCCGTGAAGATGCGTGGACCGTCAAACCAATGATCCCGGATCATTGCCTGCTGACTTCAATGGCACGTACCACAAGTGCAGAAAGGGACACTTTGCTGCGGCGTTGCAGTTGCAACCGAGCTAGGATTTTACAGTTGATGCGCGAATTACGGCATTTCCGGCTTGGCTGCTGGCAAAGTGACAAAGTAACAAGGCAAGAAGTCGCCACAGCGCAGCCTGCGATGCCAATGGATATCGTACGAAGCACTGAAGCTTTCGAATTGTAATGCAAGCTAAACAACTACATCGGCTCGAGGTCACATATCCCCTCCATCAGCGCACAGCATGATGCCACGTCTGATGAGCAGCTGGGCGATGGCGGAAGCCACATCCACTGTTTCTACGAATCCAACCCAGGAAGGTCTCACGCTCATACACAGGCTGCAGCGGGACCGAATGCAGCACTGAATGCAAAGAAGGTGCAGGAGAGACTGGGTATATTGGCGATGGCTGCCACCCAGGCGACATCATAGGCCCATGGCTGCACAAATTAGGATGTGCTGGGCTGTCCCATTGCCATCCATGCCGAGCTGGAGGCACACCGCTGCCGTCCAGTCTGGGGCTCGCCATGACATTCGACATCCCGTAATATTTTGAACGTCTTATGGAAGTGGCCTGCGCCATCTCGCGCTGCTGAGTGTCGAGTGCAGCCTTCGCCAAAGCCGAATGGACGTAGCCAGTGACGCAGTTTGCGGTGGTGCGACCTGCAGCCCTCAATCCTCCAAAAACAGGCTTGGCCAAGGCGATGACAAGTCGCGAGGCAATCAGTCCCGCTTTGGCTACAGCCTTCACGGCCACGATGCCTGTACCAGCCATGAACTCGGCAGTGCCGAACACCTCCTTTGCTGTGGTTTTGAGTTGCGGCATGGAGCTCGCCACAGAGCTGGCGAATCCCTGTGATGGCTTCTGTCTCCCTCCCGTGCACAGTGTCCTCTCTACCTCTTCCAGACGCTGGCTTTTGTGCTGCAGTGCCTGCTGCCATCTTTCCAGTTCCATCCTCTTTTCTGCCAAGCGCTGAGCGAATTCCAGCCGACTTCCTGGCAGTGCCTGGAGGGAATCTATGTCCAAGTCCTCGATCTCCTGTATCTCGGCTGCTCTCGCTGCCCGAGCTTCGGCTAGTGCCGCACTTTCTGCGGCCTGCGAAACCCGAAGCTGTGCTTCCAGAGCTTCACACCTTGCCTCCTTCAAACTGATCATGGCATCTGGCTGCAGGTTGTCTTTCGTGAAATCGGTCTGACATGAGACTGACTCCCTCGACCTGGGACGACGTGCCGGTTTGGCCGTTTCGAGGGGCTGGCACTCACGGAAGGCTTCCTGGAATCTACCGTGGTCGTGACCAACACCCGGTCTTCCCAAATGGAATGTCTCCGACATCGGCTGCGACTTCATGGCAGAATAGCTGGGGACCGGCTCACCCACGAGACCCTCGACACGTTCTAGAAATTCTGAAACATGCTGATGGTCATCGAAGTTCTGCTCAATGCACCTGCGTGAGATTTTGCTCTGTCACTTCGCCCAACACCCTTACAGGCGCACTGTGCACCATCCGAAAAGGAGCAAGGAATAAAGAGGTGCTACTTACTAACTCTGGGTCCAAGAGGCGGCGGGTTCGTCGGCTTTGGCTTCCCAGAAAGGGTCGCGGCAAGGTTCCCCAGGTTCCCCTTCTCCTTTGGTCGCAGATCCTCGGGTTCATGCGGCTCGGCTTCCACGGACCTTGGGCACAAGAACCATCTCGGCAATGTCTTGGAGTCACGACACTCTGCGCAAGGGGATTCCAAGTAGTAGCCCAGCCGAACTCCGCACCGACACTGGAAATCTTGAACTTTGCAATCGCAGCTTTCCTGGGACTTGCACGAGCTTCCCGTCATAATCACCCCGTGCGGAGGCTGACTTGTGGAAAAAGCAAAGGAGGACGGGTTCGCCATCATTTGCATCATCTCGCCATGCTCAGACAGCAGGTAGTGGCAACTGCTGCAAAACATGTTGAACACTGCACTTGGATGACCTCAGCGGATGAGAATGGTTGAGACACAGAACGCTTATCCAAGGGTGGCAGCAAGAAAAGAACGCCCTTTGAGCCTTTGAGCCTAGCGACTGGTTTCAGGTTCCTCCCAGCTTTGAGAGCGGAACGCCCGCTCCTGACGATGCTGGTTGGCATCTGGAGGTGAGATGACGGCAGGAGTGAGCCGCCATGCTCGGCTTGCACGCCTGTCTTTTGCCTCTGCCTGCATTGCCTGGCACGCAAAACCCAAGGCCAGAACAGGGTGCTTTTGCTAGAGCCCGCTGCGTAGGCGGACAGACAGGCATGCTAGTGGCAGCTAGTGACTGCCAGTGCCATCCGGGAATGCCAAAATTGGCTGAACTTCCTTGATGCTCCTTTCAGCAAGTCTTTTTCCCAAGACTCTGCATCAGCACAGTTGGGTAGCTATAGCTCTCCTGAAGAGAGCCGGACTGTCTAATTATCTGAGCATTAAAACAGCTACCCGCAAGCCTGTGTGATTGCGAAACAGCTACATGCTCCGATCATCTAAACATTTGTTGCAATTGTGAAACGGAAACTGGGCACTGTGAGCCTCCAGCATTCGCTGGAGGCTCGAGGCTCAGTTCCGGATGGCGCGTGATGCGTGAGGTTTCATACCAGGCTTAAGCGTCGTCTCTGGCTTTTGCTCGAGTACTTCACCGGGAAGTGCCCAACCTTCCTTCTGCCTCGATGTTGTTCATGCGCTCAATTCTAAGTATATAAGTAGCTCGCATTGAAATGGTATCCGACTTCTGAGAGAGCAGCTCTTCGATGACCATGGGGACGCGTTCGTAGGGGTAGTTCAGCAGAGGCGTGAGCCTTTTCGAGTCGAGTCAGCTCCGAGTTTGTCTGCTTTGCACGGCGCCGTGACACGTGATGCTGCAGAAGCAGTGCTCTGCAGTGCTGCAAGCGCTGTCGCTGATTTCGTCTCTTAGTCGTCCACAGTGGCTGCACCCTCGTCGAGACCTGCCACAACAAAGTCCATTCCCTTTCCCTGAAACAAGCGAAAGTCGCATCCCAGCCTTTTCACCAACCTTTTGAACTTTGTTTCTGGTGGTAACGGTGGCATTTGAAGGTATCTCGGCACGCCAAAGCAGATTGCTCTCACGGGACATTCCAACAGGCTCGGCAAGAGTGCTACAAAGAGTAAGTACGGCACGCATCGGTAGGTCAGAATCATGAATTGTCGCAACTGCAGGTGTGAAAACGTGCGGTAGAGTTTTGCAAGGTCGGAACATGGCCAGCATAAAATCCAATGCCACGGCCTCGAACAACGTTCTTGATAGCTCAACCTGTGCCTGGAATGCATGGCGATCAGTCCGACTGTGTTTTGTCGCTGTTGCCCAGCCTCCCTCGATTCTTTCTTCAGCTCCTGCAACTGAAACCAGGCATCTGCCGCACGCATGATAGCCAGGCTGCAAAAACAAATCGTCTCAAAACCCATGATACCACTGGTAAGTCGCTCATCTGAATGATTGCCAGCGCATCCTTCTTTGATCCACATCATTTACGCCATCTTTGTGCCCATACCGCGTGACATGCAAGGTATTTCAGCCAGCCGCATGGCGTTGATATCCTTGTGCAGTTTCTCGCATGGAAGAACGTTCAACGAAGAGGTCGCACGTGTTTTGTGAGTCGAGGCCGGGAGGCAGCGTCTGAGAACCAGCCCCTACCCTCCACCCTCCTGCTACTCCTGCTGCTGCTACCAGTACTACTTACTACTACTACTACTACTACTACTACTACTACTACTACTACTACTACTACTCCTACTCCTACTCCTACTCCTACTCCTACTCCTACTACTCCTACTACTCCTACTACTACTCCTCCTCCTCCTCCTCCTGCTCCTCCTGCTCCTCCTGCTCCTCCTGCTCCTCCTGCTCCTCCTGCTCCTCCTGCTCCTCCTGCTCCTCCTGCTCCTCCTGCTTGTCCTGCTCCTCCTGCTCCTCCTGCTCCTCCTCCTCCTGCTCCTCCTCCTCCTCCTCCTCCTCCTCCTCCTCCTGCTGCTGCTGCTGCTCCTGCTGCACCTATTCCTCGTACATACCAACCCACGTTGCTACCACTACGACTACCACGACTACCACGACCACCACGACCACCACGACAACCACGACGACCCCGACGACTACGACGACTACGACCACGACGACTACTTCTTCTTGCTGCTACTACTACTAAGTTACTACTGCCACCACCCATTCCAATTACTCCCACTCCTACCCCTGCAGGAAACCGTTGTAGTAACGCAGCAACTCCGAAACGATGATGTTGCCGTCGCTCTTTTTTTGAACCCAGACTCTGCCGATCAGCTGGGAAGCGGCACTGCCCCTTAAAAGTTCACCCCTATACCGTCTATACTAAGCCAGCAGTTCTCCCAAAAACTCGCCGCTGCTTCGAATGCGAAGCGGTAAGCAAAAAACCGTGACGGAAACCATTGCAACTGTTCAACCCTCCAGCATCAGCCTCGCACATTCGCTTGTGCACCTCTAGGTTGGTTCTGGCCTCACAGGGGCAAGGTGCTGGGTGCGATGGTACATTGAAAAAGTTTACCTGTTGCTCGTGTAGGGAAAGATCCCTCCTGGTTCAGTCTCGTATCCAACTTCTTCAGGGTCATTGCCACGGTAAAGCTTGTCTTTGCTTTGCATTCGCCTTCCAGGTACTGCAGTCCCCTCGAACACAGGCAAGACAACTCTGATTTGGCCTTTCAGATTTCGGATCTGTGAAGCGAAATATTCGCGATCCACTTCTTCGGGGAAATCAATGAACCTGGTCTCGACACTTCACAGTAGCTCTCAGGTAGCCAAATTGAGTGGCTCATTGCCACTGTTGCCCGAGTCAAGAAACGACCAAAGATTCAAAATCTCGTTTTCTTCCAAGTTTACGATCTTGAGCTTTGTCCACCTTGGTGGCACAGCGAATGTAGTGAAAGCATGCTTTTCATGCTAAAAGAAGAACAAGAAAACACAAGCAAACCAGAACAACAAAATTAATCAAAGGAAACCACGAAATTAAATCGTGCTGTACCAAATGCGAGCGAGGAACAGGGACTCGCTTGTTCCAAGGGCCTGTTCGTAGTCCTTTTGACCATGACATGCCGGCCATGAGAACTGTGCTGATACATCTTAACCAGCTCACAAGATGCTTTGCTTCATGCCGCGGTTGTCCTTTCGCGAAAGGTATGCGCTTCCCTCTTTGGCGAGTTCGTCGAACAAAGTCCTTCACTGCGTCACACGACCAGCAAATGTTTGCATGTGCCAAGACCCATAAGAATCGAGCCCTGCAAGACTTTGGGAGATGTCCCATTGTGCCTGAGATCATTCAGCTCGCCTTCGGTCGTCTCCCGTGCAATTGAAGCTTGGAGCTCCTCATCCTGCGAGCTGCGCTTCATTGCCAGAATCGTTTCTGTGAGTCTGAAGCTATTAGTACTGAGTACTACGCCTGCTCGGCACGGGCGAAGGCGTTGTTCACAATAACAGCAATCACGAGATTGTTCAACACCTGTCCGGAGGCCACCGAGGCAGGTTGAAATACTCCTCACGGAGGACTGCAGGCTCTCAAGTCTGAGAAGCGATCCATGCAAGCCACCGCCACATACAGCACCCAGAGTATCCCAATTTGTGGACTCGGAACGTGACGAGCTACCACAATCAGCTCAAGACAGCTCAAGCTTTGTCTCGTGTTTAAGGGCGGCGGCTGGCCAACTTGCAAAGGTCGGCTCAAAGAGGTCCAGCTATCCAGCGTCAGGCACTGCGAGAGGGGAAAGGCAGGCGCGAAAGTGACTCTTCAACTTCCCGCTTCTCAGGTTTCCTGAAAGAGCGTGAACATGGCATCTGGGACCGTCGAGAAATGAACATCGATGACCTGCAGAGGTCGCGAGGGCTTGCAGCAGCAGGCAAGGTGAGCCCTCGTGCTGCAGAGGCACAGCGCTCTGCACTTCTGGGGTGAACTCGAGGCCAGAGTGCAGCAGCAACTGAACGAAAAAGATCGAAAACCTCACGACATTCCCACGACCTCATGCCGACCAAATCCCCAGCAAGCCCCCCGATCAGGCTTTGGCATGTACAGAACCACTGTGATAATCGTCAGTGTCCATAGCAGAATACGACCGCTGTCGACAATGCCGCTCACCTGAAGTAGAGCAAGCTGGAGGTTCCTGTTTGCAACGGCTTCCGCCTGTACGGTCGATACAGTCACTCAGGCTTCGGCAAGCGACCAAAGAATTCGGAAATAACTGATGGTGCGAACCTCAACTCCAGCGTGTCACAGCTAGCCCTATCCGATCGCACGCTTGCCAATTTAGGCTCGAGACGCTTTTCAAGATTCGGATGAGGCGGATGCACCGCAAAGCCTGGCCAATCCGAAAAAGCGGACCTCAGCAGCACATTACAATGACACACTGCAAACCTGTTGTGGCAACCTCTTGTCTGATCTCAACTAGCGAACCGTCTCCTCCCCTTGCTCGTCTCACAGCCATTTAGCGAGTGGCATCCGCTGCTAATTTTGCTGGATCCCTAGTTTATCATCATCATCATCATCATCCAGCCGTTGTCGCCTGGAACAGAGACAGGAGTCGTCGATTCTCGCGTTAGTTGGAGTGGGGGAGTGGTCAGTCTGCTTTGAGCCAGACCTGTCGATTTGGGATTTTAGGGTACGTGGCCCTGACAACCAAACTCGGCACAACACGGATGTGAATTTTCACAAGGCGTTCATTCGTGCAGTTAGCCTGCATGTTAGCAGATGTTAGCAGGGACACCGACCACGTAGGACCTGAAGATGGTTGGCCTGACCAATCAGAATAAATGCCTAGAGTTTGTTGAAAGCCATGCTGCACAGTAGATTCTCAACGAGAATAGCTGGAGAGGCAAAGGTTGATTTTGCTGCGGCTGAGAATAATCGCCACGAAATGGCTTCTGATGCAATGCTCTTGAGGTATGTCTTGGACTGTGAGGAACCTGTTGCTCTTCACAGCCCGTGCCTACCGTATGAAAGGATTGGGTGCGTGTGCCTTCGATCTTAACGCAGTCTGGGTGAATGCCAAATCTGGACCTTGCGACCTTGCCCTGCCAAAAGCCATTCAGCCAAGCAAGCCTTGGACGACCCGGACTACTGCCATCTTGCCACGGGCGGACCGCGAAAGCCTTGATTCACAAGCAGACGGCATCGTCCGGACAAGGAACCACGGACAGCTAAACACTGGAAGTTTGCGGTTTGATGAGGTCAAGGATCCAGGTGATTGTAATTGATTGTAATTTCTTCCGGTGAAAACTATGCATGGCATGTTTGCGTGAAGCGATTGGATCATGGACGCTGGCGACCCTTCACAACTGCCCTAGCTTCGTTCCGAGAAATCCATCTTTGCATTTTGCGAGGCTGTCCACGGTGCTGCAGGTTTCAGGTATGTTCGGGCTGTGGGCCTGTTCGCACGTGTTGCGCCGCAATCGCTGCTGCTTTTGTGTGCCGCTTTAGGAAGTGTGCAGGTAAACGGGGTCGGACGTTGAAGTCATCCAAACGTTTCCATGAATAGGAGGACAACCTCCTTCTCCACTTCTTACACGGCCTGCGTAGACTTCAGTGTGTTTTGTCTTGTGGCGTTACGTCGGGTGTGGCCTTGCCTGCACTGATGGGGGAGTGCTCCATCAGCGCACGTAGTTCTTGGATGCACTTTTCTTGGTACCTGTTGCGGCGAGCATTAGAGCTCCTTGTAGTGTCGTCTCCACTGGCACATTGGCCTGCTGCACTTCGGTCTGCAAGTCTTCACGGCGCGGTGTCGGCAAGGCTGGAAGCTTCTGCACTTCATCGGCTGTTGTGAGAGGCTGTGGCTCTTTCCTTCCCTGCCTCCCTCCTGCCGGGCTTGGCTGAGGAGACGTGACTGACGCCCATGGTTTGCATTAGGCCTATACTGGTGCCTGTGGTCTCTTTGCTGCTGTTTGCGATGGTGCGCAGGGATTCAGGTGCGATCACTGCCCCGAATCCGTTGCCAGCTGCTGCTGCTGCTGTTGGTGAGGCTCTGTAAAGGATATTACCTGCATAGGGTGTAGGACGGAAGGAGGTGCCGCCTGCTTCGCTTGGAGGCACCGCCAAACTGATTGCTGTAGGGCTTCGGCGGAGCTAACATGGAGACCATTGCGACGGCCTCTTCCTTTTCTCAGCTTTCTGTCCAATGGCATTTTGTCCAAGCCAACCAAAAGGACCGGATGAGGTTTGCTCACGCATAGCCGGCGCATCTTCTCAGTCTGGCTGGTTGTGACTGCGTTCAGCTGGTCATTTCTCATCGCATTCGTGCCCGTGGATGCCCAGGGGTACCCACGGTGTTGCTCCCAATTGTTAGTCAGTGGAGAAGTCAGGCCACGTGAAGCATCTGTTGGTGCCGGTTTGAGTGGTTGAGTGTGACTTGGCCTTTGCCATTTGAGCCATACCTTCTCGATCCTAAAGAAGCTAACATCAGCGGGCGAGGTAGCTGAGATGAAAGGTAGTCGCGGTCTTCCGTCCATGCCTACAGCTCTCCTGTGTTGCTGCCTCCTTGGACTCAATGAGAACGGGGTGAACAAAACTTCCGTGATAATGCGTAACTCGACCACTAGACTCCTCGATGACTGTCGTCAGCTGGCACGACAAAGCCCCAACTCGCAGGTGAGCTCCAATTCCATCTTGCAAGGGATCTGCAGAAGCTCTGCATGTCCGTCTCAGGTTTTCAGGCTCGGGGGGTCTAGGGGTCTCCGGGTCTGGCCTCATGTGTCAAGGTGCCCAAAGAGTCTCGAAGGCGATCTCGCCAAGCTCCATGCAGAAACATCGGAAAGCTATCAGCCACAAGCCAGAAGGATGCAAGAACTCAACAGTCAAGTGGAACACCGGAACATCCATAATCGCTGCAGGCGATTCCGATCCAGGTTTGCGTCTGGCCAACATTTGCTGGCCTTCACGTGGGTTTTTGTTCTTGGGAGAGGTAGTCGGGAAAGCGATGGTGGGAACAGGGAGGGTAAGCGTCAAGTCGGGCTCGGGACATCGGCCGAGTCATACCTCAAGACGAGCCGCGGCAGCACTACGCACCACGCAGCGCGAGGCTCTCCAGTGCTCCACCGCTGAAAAGTCATGCCGATTGAGATCGCCACATCCCGCCAGTGGTTACTCTTGATTCATGGCCCAACCATTGAGGTCTCTGTCCCGGCTTGCACAAAGGCAAGTTAGGGGCAGGAAAATCGGTGCATGTGAATCGAGGACCGGACTCTGGAAGTCAAAGACAGGCCCCAGAATGTAGCTCGGGATGATTCCTAGCGCAGCTGTTCTGGGCACGTATCCCTGCTGGTCTTGCCACGAGCTGCACACCTGTAACTGCGATCAGAACCTCGGCTGAGCAAACAATCGCCGATTCCCAACTGTGTGGTCGAAAGCTTATGAAGAAAGACAAATCTGAGAAAGAGTCCACGTCGCTGGCATTCCCTGCAGTAAAGAACCTGTCGGAAGACGGAGGCAGGACCAGACGGTGCAAGTCAAGCACATCGCTTGGGCCCAGTCCAAGTCCAACCGTCTGCTATGACTCGCAGTATGATCTCTGCGATGAAACAGAACTTGGTTTGAGCAGGTGCAAAACTCCTGCGCTCTGTGCTAAGACAGCTTGGACAGTGCAGAGTGTAGAGGGGAGCGGGTTTTTGGTAGCAGCCGTCACCACTGCTTGAGACGTCATTGTTTGCGGTGAAACCGGGCGGATTTGCATGTCACGAATTAAACAGCTCTTCGGCTCGTGCAGGCATGGAAGATGTGCCACTGCATCTTCACTTCCTCTTTGTTGCAAGAGCTCACAGAGTCGACAATCGAGCTCTGTGCAGCTAGAACCCCTAAGCCTAAACCGACATCGTTTCAAGCAGAATCAGCAAGAATATTTGACAAGAACTAGCACAGAAGCAACACCCCGGATGTACAAGCCCGAGCTCCTTGAGATACAAATTCAAGGTGCCTCGGTTGAGAGGCTGGAAAATCGTCGTGTCTCAGTGCGCCGCCACATACGGATGGCCTTCCTGCAAGACATAAGATACAACAACGCAACCGACTGGACAAGCAATTGCCTGAGAGGGGCGATGTACAAGAAATCAACAACACATTTCCAAAGAAATAGACTGCCCACTGCCCAGTTGTGAAAACTAGCCCATCATAATGCATCGCAAAGACCGTTGGTGTAAAGAAGCTCATGAAATTCAGCAGGACGGGTCCCTTACTGACCTCAGCATTGACACATATTGACACATGACATCGCATGTGCTTTTCACAACCCTGAGCTCTCTGGGCAACAAAGCACCGCACGTTGATCTCGCCCAAATCGACGGAGTCCTGTTCATGCATTCGTGGACTGCATTGCCACAGGTTTAGAGTGAGGCATGTTGAAGCCGCAGTTAGGTTATGGATGCGTGCGGGCTCAGGTGTATGTAAGGACGCACACACACACACACTTACTTACTTACTTACTTACTTACTTACTCCCCATGCATCCGAAAACAGTCGCTGAATTGCTGCCGGCCTGAAGGGAGTTGTTGCAGGGTGCATGTGCTTCGAAAAGTTTCCGGCACGCCGTTTGCAGCTCCACGATGGAGCCAATTCTGAGGGCATCATCGCTGGTGCATGAGAGCCATGCTTGCGCTTCGAGGTACCACAAAGCTATAGTGCATCCAACGCGCTTAGCAGGGTCAGCCCAATCTTCGGGGGAAGCCTAAGGAGTTGAGTCGGCTGCATGAAGCATGTCTGAGCATGAAAGGTAGCCATCCTCGCCTGCTCGAGTTGCATCACATATTCGTAGAGCTTCGACTCCAGGGCAGAGGAGATCTCGAAGTTTGCACTAAGGAGGAGCTCCTCACAGACGGCACAGTCCGTCGCTGCATGGATTTTGGGGCAATGGGGAGGAATCGCCTTCGCTTTTGACGGTGCACTTCCGTGGCTTCATCATGTCACTCTGGAGAGTGTCAGCCACTGCTCAATTCTGCGACTTGTGCGGATGTGTTTGCCTGCTTGCGCGCACGCGCATGTTTTTCGCGCTGTTTGCATAGTCTGCGTGGTCAGCACCAAAACGAAAGCACCACCTCAAACTGCCCGAAGGCACACTTCGCCATCGCGACTGCTGTTGCGCACGTCAAAACGGAGTCTTCCTTCTCAGCGCCGTTCGACGCACACCTCAATCCCTCTTGCATCTGATCTCCATAGATGCTAACCTGAATTCTGAATGCTGAACTCCAGATCGTGCTAAGCCCTATATGCCCAACAGACAGCCGATGCCGTTTACTGCAACTCGCCAATATTCCTTAAACATCCTTACGCTGTAGGCTATAGAAAATTCAGCCTGGCACCAGACCGGAACAACATCCTGAGCATCTCCTGAACCGACTGACAGTTCATAAGGTGTCCGTCCTTGTTTAGGTAATCCGGGTTCAGCAGTCTTTCAAGGTTTGGATCGCAATGAAGCGTCGACATCCAGAAGAGCACCCGGCCCGGTATGCGCTTCATGTCAACTTCTCCCAAAGGAAGGTCTGATGCCCACGGAAAGAAGTTGTAAGCGAAGTCCACGTGACCACCTCCGCGAAGATCCATGTCTGTCATCACCTCAAGCCACCCAGAGCAAGCCCCCAGAAATGCTTTCAACTGCAACAGCTGCAGGAAGTCCCTGTTGTCTGAGCACTTTGCCCCACCGCGAAGTTCGTCTTGAAAAACGTTCCGGGGCACCGCAAACATCGGGCAGCAAGTGAGCGGCAAGCATTCCATGCCCTCTCTGCAGTCCATGAAGCGTACAGCAACCACCACCTGGAGGAGCAGGTAAGTTGCACCTCGGATGAAGAAGGCTTTCAAGACCACCGCTGCTGCGAGCTACGCTACGCCGCTACGCAGCCCAAGTCCTACGTCGCGCTCGGCTGCTCGCAGCTGCTCTCCAGGCCGGGCCGCTCATGATCCAGCGGCAGGGTTCTTCGAGAAAGCCTTGCGCAAGGACTGCGGTCCACGTCTCGTTGGAAAGCAGCTCCTGGTTTCAGGCGAGCGCTCTCACGCTCTCCTATGCTCTCCTGCTTCGGCCCGCCGCACGTTCACCCTGCCCCCTGGGCCCTGCCTGGCCATGCCACATGGATTGTAAGTCCGGCAGGAAAACCCAGAAAACCGGACACCAGAATGGCTTGAAGTCCAGGCCCTGCCCATTTCACAAGTAGGGCTGGTCGGTGAACTCCCTTGTTCTGCTACATTACTCTGCCATCCGCACCTGCAAAACATCGACGCCAAGATGAAATGAAAAAGCCACTGCACCTGCGAGAACCTCAACATCCCACGACAACTTTCGACTGCAGGCACCGCAGCAGCAGAGTAAGTTGCTGGCAGATCCTGTTCGACCGCCAAGCAGTACAAGAGGCAGCCACCCAAACTCAAAAATCAGTGCGGACCTTATGCAGCCAGAAGTGACTAGATGTGACACTCAAATGGCGGGCCCAGCTGTTAAGCCACCGACACTGCCATAGAAGTGCACAACCACCATCGCTGAAGGAGTATGAGCTGCAACTTCTGCACCAGAACCCAGGAGTGTGGCCGGCTCCACATCGCATCCAGAATGTATGCTTGCATCGTGCTGCCAAGCCAAGGGCGTCTGAAAACGCACGGCACCACGACTTTCGATACGGCACCAGCAAAGTAGACTACTCCCAGGAATAGTTTGATGAAGACCTGAACAAGAGCTTCAACCTTACAAATACCTTGTCCATGCGGCTGCCTGGAATGGCTGAGCTTAATGACCGCAAGCCAAGATACGAGGCTCCAGGGGGTTCCCTTCGGACCCCCACTCAAGGCCAGGAGCAGAAGAACGGAAGGCAACAACAAAGCTCCATGACCGCCATGCTTCGACCTGAAGTGCGGACATTGGCACACAGCCTTACCAATCTAGCAGCTAAGGAAACAAACTCTGGGTGCTCGTGCATCTCGCCACGCTGAATTCTCAGGACGTCACTCGCAGAACAACTGGCCGAAGTACAGGAAGTAAAGACCGAAGCCAGCGAACAAAAAGAATCTCGGAGCCAACTGAGAGTGGCAAGCCAGAAGAAGAGACACTACCTCAGTCCAGGCCAAACTTAAGAACCGCTTGTCGTCGACACTTGGTACTTGGTGAAATCGCGGTCGTAGCAACGCATGCAGTGCTGAGTGACGGGCCAGCAGCCAGCCAACCATCTGGAAGTGACTTTCTGGAAGCTGCGGGATTGGTACGAGGCCGTAGGCCTTGCAGGCCGTGTATCCAAGACCTCTTCGGCTGTTGTGCGTCAAGTTTGCCCGCATCGTCAATCCTGAGCTTCCGAGGCAGGGTTGCGATGTGTCACATCATCATGAATGAAGTCGTATCACCCCGTGTGCAGTCGCATCATAGGCCGTAGCCGTAGCCATAGACATGCACAAGGCCTGGCTTCACTAAGTTCTGTCGGCTATGCCTCAGCACCCTCGATGAAAATGGCAAGTGCAAAACAAAACTCCATGGGCAAGCGCTTTCAAACACTCATGACGGTAACACTGATACCACGATAACAACAAATAGTAAAACTAACAACAACAAAAAATGACAGTAAAAATTGCAAGACTTGCAACAACAGCTCAAGACATCTTAAGACACGTCCTTATAACTTGGTAGCGGTGGGAATAACATTCTCCCAGTGTGCATGTACAACGGCGCAACTTCAATGTTTTAACTTCGGCACCTGCAGGACTCTTTCGGAATGGCTTTCCTTTGCTGCACATGGGCAAAGATATCTTTTGACTCCGGATTCCCCAGACGGTATGGTGACACTACCGGATGGGACTCTTACGTTCAAACACTAACCCGCTATGTGACATGCCCATGCTGTATAACTGCTTCGTGGTGTAGCCCAGCGGTTTAGAAAAATGCTACAACAATAATAAGAATCGTCCGACAGACAAGGCCAGGTAGGCAGCTCTGGCCCGAAGTCTGTGGCGGCAGACGCACTGCGGACACCAGCCGAAGTCCGCCGCACGGCTTCGCGTTTTATGCGCGTGCTGCCGCATGGCGATCAGCATCCCTCTGCTCAGTGTCGACTCCGTCGTAGCACTTCCCACGCCAGCATTGGGGGCGAGGGTCGAGGTGCCGAATGTCAGCCTAGACACAACCAACGGCAATGCCGGTTTTCGAGGCGAAACGCTCACGTCGGGCGCACCTGGTGTGCCGTTGCTCCCGCACCGGTGGCGGCGCGCGTTTTTCGTGCTGTGCGCGGTCTTGCAATCCTGTGCGTGTCCATCTCGCGAAGTGGTCCTTCCACTCCGCCTTGCCCCTTTTTAATGCGACCCCTGCTTGTGCTTCCATGGACTTGTGCTACAGTATAACCTGCTCCGCACATGTTTTGGGCTGGGACTCCTGCTCAGAGCGCCGGGCACAGTTTGGCGGCGACTTGCCTTCCACATCCTTGCTTGCAGCTCGGTGCTGGTGCTGTCATCAACCTCTACCTTCCAGTGCTTCATCTAGGCTTCCGCCTTGCACGCTTGCGATGCATGAGTTCTCCTGGATGCAACTTGCCCGAGCTCGTTTTCTGTGCCTCCTATACTGTTGGTACGATGACCTGAGCATTGGCGCTGCGTCTGCACCCAATCGTACCCATCAAATCCCTGTAACCTGACAGGACCTGTTCGGAGTTCGGGGTAGCTTCCTCTCAGTGCGCACGCGGCGATGGGACTTGAAGGAAAACCGCTCTTTGAATTGAACCAAGTCAGGGCACGATAGAAGCGCACGGCTGCTGGGTGATTCACGATCAGGCCAGCCGCGACACTGACGCAGAATAGTGTGATGAAGAGCCGAACCTACAGTACAAGCATGTACCAGCAGCCGCGCGCCACACGTGGCACGCAACACTTCCCGATGGTGTCTTGCTCGCGGGCCTGCTCGGGAGGTTCACACAGAAAGAACGGCTGCAAGATCTCCTGCGAATCCGTGCACCTCGTGGCTTCATCTCTCGCAACGCAATTGAAGGCTTCTCAAAACCGAGTGTGTAAGGCGCATGCACTGCATCTGATGTGAAAAGGGCTTCCTCTGGCCGTCGGTAGGTGATCACATTTCTCAGGCTGAAGCCTCTCCACACACGGAACTTTCAACCCCGGCAAGAGCTGCTCTTCGTGGCAACATGACTCCAGGCCTACACTCATGCTGGCCATGCAGCTCCAGAGACTGATCTACCATCAGTCTGCGCGTTGAGCCAGCAACACATCACATCAGAGTCACACGTGCGTTCTTCTATGCGCAAGCAATCTGTGTCAGTACCAGGTGTCAGTGACCAAATGCGAACGGATTAGAGTGCTTGGGACCCGGCGTTGAAAAATTCTTCGAATAGCCCGTAGATTTCGAGCTCATCTGTGATGCACAGACACGCAATGCGAGCATGAAAGCTGCCTCCGGGGTCTGCCTGCCGTTCCCTGCACCTAAGACGTCAAGAAGTTACGCGATAACCGACTGTGACTTCCAGCCTACTTGAAGACCGTTCATGTGCCTAGGCCGCTGACGGAGATTTGGACGCCGGTAAGAAGGCCATTCAAAGCAACTAAGAAGAATGTCACCAGCTCGAAGGTCCTGCGCCAAACGACCAACTTCCAGCTGCTGCTGAGCTGACTGATGCACTACAGTAAGTAGACTTGTGTAGACTCATTCGGAGCTAGGGCAGCCAGTCATGCCGGATTTCACCATGCCGGAAATCATGGGGCACCTCAAGGAAAGATGCGTGACCGTCGACAGGCATCAGACACTGCACCCAAGCCAGCTGCTTATGTACAAACTCTGGGTGGGCCCGTCGACGTCTCTCGCGGGAGATGCGGTCTTGCAGTCTGTCGATCCTGTGCTGCAAAGCCAAGCTCTGTGTGTGATCTTTCCGAGCCACACAAAGACTACCCAGAATGCCAAGATAGGACCGCCTGAACGTTTTTCGCATCCATTCGAAGAGCCTCACAACGTGTCAAGCAGCAGTGGTTGATCGGAGGGGCAAGCACGATGCAACATCCAAACTCTGAACCGAACCAAGTGGCCAAAATCTGCGTTTGCCTTTCAAGGCTTCTTCGATCATTTGCTCATTCGTCATCTGATCGGCGCCCGCCATGACCTGTCGGCTCGCGCACGAAGCACGGCAAACTTGCACTCAGTCAGACATCTTAAGCTACCGACTGCGCTGGAGATTTTGGGTCTGTCGGGCTCAGCCTGCAGTAAACGAGGCAGCTCAAGCAGCAAAAGCGATCTATGGGGACTTGGGCGATGGCATCCTGCTGATGCATCTTTGCTCTGGTCCTCAGCTTGCGAGCTTCATCATTCGTGATGGCACCCCTGTCCAGCAACTCCTGGCCATGGATTGCAAGACTGCTGCAAAAGATGCAGACCGACCAAGGCATGGCAACTCCAACGGCAAATTCCAATCCTGAATGTGTTCTTCGCTTTCTTCAAACTTCTGGTATGCTTCTTCCACCTGGCGGTCATTTAGCAACTCGCAGACTGGCTTCCGTTTAATTCCGTCGTCACACCTCCCGCGCTTCCATTCGCTCCTTAGCACATACAACCTCGGACACCATCACCTGCCAGGAGCAACAGCAGCAGGAAAACGGTTCAATTGGGATTTGAGGGTTGTTCTATATCCTTGTTCCACGCATGCCAATTAGGATACCTTGCGCTTCGCCCTTGCGCGTTCCTTGGGCGTGCTTGCGCGCGCGAGGGTTTCTTAAGACTATAGGGTTTGTTACTGCGGTTTGTTGACGCTTGGTGGCTTCGAGTCTAAGCTTCGGCTGCAGGTACAACACTGGGGCTTCAAGGCTCAAGAAGTTGTGTTGGGTCCTCCATGGCTTTGGGCAGGCGACCTTGCGCGCCGTCTTGCGCGCGCTTGCGCCGATCTTGCGCGGAGTATGCCGTGTCAGAACCTAATTTTCAACCGTTCGCGACTCTGCTATCGCGGCTTGCAGAATATAAGAATGAAAGCGCTTACTCCAGAAGCGGAACGTCCTTGGTTTGGGTTTAGGGTTTCATTTAGGGACTATATAAAAGAGTTTTAATGCTTAGGGTTTACGCAGGGTTTAGGGTTTATAGGGTGTAGGCCGGTTACATACAACGCTGCTGAGTATCACTCTTGAACCAACCTTAACAACAAGCCTTGAGCATAGCTTGCGTTCGCCCTTGCGCGCCCTTGCGCGCGATCGAAAGGGTGTGCACTTTTTAAGCGACCGAGTTTTCGCTAATCGCCCTCCTAGTCTTGTCACAAGAACCCCCCAAAAAGAACAACGCTTTGGACTTGCCACTGCACGAAGCTCAAGGTTGCACCCGCCTCGATGGTGCCCTGTGCCAAATCCCTGGAAGCTTCCGCCATGCTTGCAAAAGCTGCTCAGGGCAAGCAAAATGGAAGTTTTCTGGCACACCGGCTATATGAAGCCTGTGCCCACGACCTAGCAAGCCTGTTCTACGACTTCATATATGGCGCAAGATCATCACGCATCAATGATGATTCGGTGCTACACTCTTACTTCATGTGAAGCACCTATGGATCTCATGGGACTGAAAGAATTGAGCTCGAACCGGCCATCGACAGTTGTAAACATCAGCCAGGAGACAACTCGATTGCTACGTTGATGGGTGTGTATATTTGTTGCAGTCAAAGACTTTCTTGTGGATGCGATACAGCAAGCTACAGCATGTATGCTTCAAGTCCTGACATGTCGGGACACAACTGCGGTCACAAAAGCAGAACAGTTCGACAAGCAACGCAATTGCAATATACAGGTATGATGATACTATACATCCAACATCATGCCTTCTCTGGGGGGTTCGGTCCGTGATCTCCTGTTGACGTTTTGGCCTTATCCCCCGTCAGCGTGCTGGGTTTCTGGACCGAGTCACGCGTTGAGGGTCGTCAGGTTTGCCACACATCTTAACTATCCGTGATATTCGCTTCGGGTTTTGGGATTGAGATCATCAGCTGAATCAAATCAGAGCGTCGGAGGGTAAGTCTGATGCCGCTTCCTTTGCTCAACGATGCTCAACACGACTCCGGGTCGGACGTCGGCAACTAGCGCCTGGATGAGGAAGCCGATCACGTGAAATCGTGTGCACATTGGAAGCACAACAAAGCGCGAAACACAGGACAGAGGATCACCTGCCGATCTTGGGCCGATGGCCGTCGGTCACACGGCGTTGGGGCGCGCCCGGGCCATGCCGGGACCGGCACACACCGATGCGCCGGCCCTGGATGAAGTCCTGCACTTGGCCGACCCAGACGGGCCGAGCCGCCTGCCGCTGCGCTGAACCGGCCCTAACTCGGGACCGTGACCGTACTCCACTGGGACAGGGACCTTCCTGCTGACGGAGAAAGGCGCGAAAAAAAAAAAATACACGTTAAGGTTGCTCAAAAAGAGGGACGCGCTGCGTAATAGGATTTACGGCTTGTTTGCGACGAGCTTGCGTACGAGCCCTGGCCGCCAGCACCACCCCACCATATAGTCGCCAGCAGTGTCGCCAGCCCCCCCCTACCAGACCATACCATGCGAAGACGCTTGACCATGCATCCCTCAAGTCAAACCGTAAGTGGAGAATAGGCCGATCTGCTTATGCCGGCCATGTTTTCCCTAGCGTTGCAGCCCGCATTGCGTGCGATGCAGTCCGGTTGATTATTTCCGCCATCGCGCCTTCGTGAGGGCGACTGATGACGCTTCGGCCGCATCGCTGGATTCGCAAGCTGGGCCGCTGTCCCCACCGCTCGCTTCAGTGGCCGGACATTACGCGGGCGACCGCGGTGATTCTCCAGAGGCGCCGTGCGCGTCGACAGCACACCGGAAGTACCGCAGGCAGCGCGGTGGTCACCCGGAACGTCGGGTTGCCCATGCATGGCAGAGTGCAGGGCATGGCAGGGGCATGCATGGCATGTTCAAGCGCCGCAGCAGAAGGACGCGTGTCCCTTCGTAAAGCTTACATTGCAAGAGTCTGGCTGCAGCGGCGGGGGCCCGCAAGTTGATGACAGGCACCGTGTCCTGCCAGGATGCCTCTTGCGCGGTACCAGACAGCTGGAAGGCACGCGAAGGGGTTGGTGGGAGGGGCGTTTATCCCTGCTCGAGCAGCGTGGCGAGGCAGCAAGCAATGGAAGTATCGTGCGCAGCGGCGTGTTTGGCCGTGAGGTGCGGCGGCAAAATTTGCGCACGGAGCCGCAGGTGTGAAGGGAGAGCCATGCGGCTTGCAATTCATCAAGCAACGGAATGCGGTCCTGGAGCGTGCGTTACGCTGCACGATGAGCCCTTGTTGGCCCGGTGAGAGTCACCAGGTGCCAACCCAAACAAGCTCGCTGTTGCCAGCAGCGGGTGTCGGCAGCGTGAGGTGGGTCTTCCCGAGCTGTGTCGAGCTGGGCCAATGCATACTAGGCTGGCAGCAGTGGGTCGCGTTGCTTCCCGCCCTTCGGGGCATGGACTTCAAGACGACGTGGTCGAAGGCTCCAACAGCGTCCACGGAGAGAACCGTGGCGCTGGGGGCTCACCTGTCGACTGACCGCTTCTGTGCCGACACGGGTGCATCGGGTGCTGAGGCCGTACTAGTACGGCATAACATGGCATACAGGAGGCGGCGCGACGGTGTGGCGCGAAGTGTGGCGCCAGCACTGGGCAGCACGTCGCCGACTCCGAGTGCCTGGACGGACCGTTGGGCTTACACTTTCGCGACCACGCGTGCTGGACCTGGCCAAGGCCGACGGGCCGAGCCGCCTGCCCCTGAACCCCGCGCCGTAGGCGTAGGTGTATGCGGGTAGGCCTGCATATAGGACCCGCCGACCAGACACGAAGCGGGCAGGAAAAAGGTTCGAATAGGTCCGACCCAAACAAATATCAATTTTTTTTAAGGGCAGTTCGCGACCAGGCTTGTGCGGCTGGAATGCATGTGGCCGGCGGCCTGCTGTGCGACGAGGCGCTGGACCAGCTTCACTGCGTCAGCGTTCCACCGCCCACCCACTTCGCAGCCGAGCACGCAGAGGGCTTGTGCGCCACCTGCCGCGAGCTCAGGGTAGGTGGCTTGTTTGCGCCGGTAGGCGGTGCGCAGAACCGCTCCATCCTGTGCGGCCGCGCCTGGGTGGGGTTCGCCGTCGTGCGCGAAAGGCGAAACGAGGGTCGCATCGCAGCAGAGCGCACCGTGTACTTAAAACCCTACACCCAACCCTAAAGCCCACCCTAACTGCAAGCTCTAAGCCCAAAGCAGAACTTACACCGCAAATCCTCCCTAAGCCCTTGTCGACTAGAAACCTTATACCTTCTAAAACCACAAACTCGAAAGCTTAAGCAAACCCAAAACCCCAAAACCCCCACAACCACCCCACAAGGGGAGGAGGGAACCCACACCCCACACCACAGGGGAGGGGGGCCCCACCCTACATCCGGACCATGGACTACTGACCTTTTGGTTGGGGGGGGGGGCCGCGGACCGCGTGACAATACATACCGGGACTCCCTCACATACCAAGTAGTGCGTGCAACAGGAAGGACCCCCTGAACTAACGGCGCAGCGAGTGCGCCAAGCATGAAAGAGGCCGAATTTCAGATTCAATGATGATTTTTTTTTCCACGCACCTTTTTGCGACAGCACCAGAGGTACTAGGTCCGGTCCCTGTGCAAACTGCTGTCTACGGGTTGGGCAGGGCGGGCTGGGAGGCGGCTGTTAGCGGGGGCCTGCAACCCGCGTGCGTCGGCCAGGAGCTCGTGCAAAGCGGGTGGGTCACCAGCAGCACCGAGCTCTGCGGCAGCGGGAAGCTCGAGCAGCGAAGTGGCGAAGGCTCGCTGCGCGGCAACAGAGAGGATGCCGCTCCAACGGTACACCCAAGCGGCTTGAGCAGCGCGGCGGACGGCGACAGGTGCGCTGGCTGCGCGGGCCTGCGCGAGAAGTCGGAGGAAGGTCGCGGCTTCCTCACTCCAGCGCCCACCAGTTTCGATGCCGAACACGACGAAGCGGCAGCGGCGAGCTCGAAGCAGCTCCGGATAGGTGTGCCGGCGCTTGCGCTGCGCCGCGCGGGCTAACGCAACGCCCGGTTGCGCATCGGCCGCGGGCTGTGGCAGGCCGTCGCGCGTGAGCGGGGAAACCAAGGTCGCATCGACGGCGAGCTGAGCTCCGTGCCAGAGGGGCAGGCCATTGCAAACGACCTCGATCCTCCTGGCGTCGCTGACTGGCACATCAATGTTCATGTCAGCGACGCGAACATTGCGCGCAACACGCGCTCCGGCCTCGCGGCAGACACGAGCAAGGGCATGCTCGAGCGGGAGCGCCCGGGTCGGGAGGACACCCGAGGTGGCACAGGCGGCTCGGTGGTCGCCCAGAGGGTCGAGGCTGCGGCCGCAGCGGCAAGTGCGGGGGCAGAGCGCTAAGGGAAGGCGCAGCCGTCGGAGCAGCAGGACCCGGAACTGCGCGCTGGGGATAGTGACATCGTCGGAGGTGGGGAGGACCGTAAACACACGGCCGGAGTGTGGCCCGGCCTGGGAGAGCAGCAGGGCACGAGACGCAGGCGAAAGGTCAGTAAAGTGCGTTTCGAGCGCGCGCTCGTCGCAGGCTCGGCTAGCCCGGC